CATATACTTCGTAGACATCCTTAATCTCTAATAACTCCATTCTGCTCTCTGTTGTTCTGTTGTCAGTGTTTCATTGAAAACTATTATTGGCTAAATTTACATATGCACTGAATGTGATTAATTTACCGTAATCTAAAGCTTAATCACAATGTTGCCTTATTTGCATTATAATGGTATTAAAGGGGTCATATGATGCTGCTAAAAAGAACAGTATTTGGTGTATTTGGTGTAATGAAATGTGTTTATCACAACGAAGCACACAGCGTCTTCAGGACATGGCGGAAAGCGGCAACAATACTACAGTGAGAATAAAAGTTACGCCTTCTTCCTTTGCGTGAACATTTGGGTGGCGTTATGCAAATCTTCCCACATAGTGACCAAGAGATGTGGGGGCGTGTTAGAACGAGCCGTTTTAGGTAGGTGTGGCTGATTCTTAACTTTTATAAAGAATATCTCTTTGGATTTGAGACTTTAGTCTTTGCAACTTTACAGATCTTCTTTATGCACCAAGAGCTTGTAACACTCCAAAGAGAAAGGAAATTTTTAAATCGCATCATATGAAAAAACTGAGAAATTGAAATCGCATCATATGAAAAAACTGAGTTAACTATTGAGTGAGTAAATTGGGTGAATTTCCTGTAAATGTACTTACCCTCAGGCCATACAAGCTGTAGATGAGTTTGTTTCTTCAACAGATTTGAATACATTTAGCATCAAATCACTTGTTCACCAGTGGATCTTCTGCAGTGCGTCAGAAACAGAGTTAAAAAAACTGATAAAACATTACAATAATCCACAAGCAATCCATAATATTGCTTTCTCCACAGTGAAAAAGTTATCTCATCTGAATCATAAAGGAGATAAATATGCACAGATTAAGCACCATTTATTAATGTAAACAGTTCTAAACAAATATGTTTGTGGATTTTCAAGTGAGAGGACAACAGGGGATGGACTTTTTCACTGTAGGGTGCATATCCAAAATATGGATTATGGACCTAGAAGTGACGGTTTAAAAGTAACATGGCTTGATGAATTTGTTTCTTACAAACACAGCTTTTTACCTCACAAGACATTCATTGATAAACTGGAGTTGTGTGGATATCTTGTGGATTATTGTGCTTTTATCAGCTGTTGGACATTCATTCTGATGGCACCCATTCATTTCAGAGGATCCATTGGTGAGCAAGTGATGTAATGCTAAATTTCTCTAAATCTGTTCTGATTCCGATCATTAACTTCACTAATGATGTGTTCACCAGTGCAAGAGCTGGCCAATAATTTCTCCCTTTCAGCAACCTGTCATTTGCATAAGAATGCAGCAGTTAGCAAACAACACTGATCCAGTCATTCCCGATCCAATCCAGTCCCGTCCTACATTTTTTCTCTTCACAATTTTCATTTCATGCCAACTTTAAATAGTAGTACTCTTAGAATATTGGGTCCCACTTTATATTAAGTGGCCCTAATACCTGTGTACTTACATAGTAACTTGATGTGTACGTAGTATGTAACCACAGTGTAAATACACATTGGTACATAGTATCTAGAGCTGTAATATTTCTGTAACTACACACATGTAACAACCATTCGAATGGTTTGTGTAAGTACAAATGTGTAACAGGACATATATAACTACATTTTGTAACAACAATATGTATAAGAATAATTGGAACAATTTGATCCAGGGGTTGGTGATGGGTAGGTTTAGGGGTGGAAATGGGATCCGGGGTGGAAATGGGTAGGTTTAGGGATCTCAAGTTGGTGGAGTTGGTGCACCACTGTAATACCAGTGTACTTACATGGTAACTCCTCAGGAACTGTCCGCTTAATATAAAGTGTAACATTCTGGACACCAACCACAATTTATATGTAAGGCCTAACTTACTGGCCACTGCTGTGTAACATCAGAGTAATTGCATGGTAAATCCATAGGAATTGTTTACTTAATATAAAGTGTAACACTTTCTTTACCAAAAAGTGCTGTTAGTCCTGTTACACATTTGTACTTTCATTACCAAAAAGTGTTGTTACCAATGTCCTGTTACACATTTGTATTTACACATACCATTCAGTGGGTTGTTACATATGTGTAGTTACACAAACATTACAGCTGTAGATACTATGTACCAATGTGTACTTACACTGTGGTTATATACTATGTACACATCTAGTTACTATGTAAGTACACAGGTATTAGGGCCACTTAATATAAAGTGGGACCGAATATTGTGCTTCAAATTTCTAAAATTAAATTATTCAAAAATATGTCCAAGTTATATTTCTGATCCTTGATGCATTATTAGTTTTGATCTTAGTATCTGTCAAGCTATGTTGCACAGTACCATGATGTCTTTTCTGTAGTGCAAATAATGGCTACCAACCAGCTGCTACATGTATTTAGTTGCATGGAATATAAGAGCTGTTTAAACCTTGTTTGGATTTTGCTGTTGTTGTTGTTGTTTTCCTGTTCGCATTGGCCTCGTTTAAATGGTTGTAGTTGTCATAATTGTAAAATGATTGTGTGGGAATAAGTTGTTAGTTATTGCTCAGAGGCTTGTGACTATATCAATAAAAAAATCACTTGATGGACCTTCACTATGTATCATCATTACTTCCTTGTACTCTATTCAAAGAACATCCAATCAGTGTTTTTTTTTTTTAAACTTATTCTTCTCTTTCCGTCTCAACTTTAGTTTTTCATTTATAACGAAATGTATCCAACAAGAATGTAAGCTCTAGAGAGGGGCCTGCTAACCGTCCTATACTAATAAACATCTGTTATTCAAATGATGTACTTGCTCAAAGACAAGCTGGGACTGGAAAGCAGCGGGGATTGATAGAGCAGAAGTTCACACGCTATCTCACAAAAAGCACTAAAAACAAATCTATGCTGTTGACATGAAAAGAGAAGCTGTAGTAGCTCTGTTTTGATAGAGTGACTGGTGGGGTCATGAGAGACCCACAACTGATCTCCACAGCTGGAATGCTAATAAACCACCTTGCGCTGCTGCTAATATATGCTGCACTCTAGCACAACTATACGACGAGGAGTTGATTTTAGAAGCACAGATTATATGTCAAAATAGGTGAAATGTGGTGATTAGAAAAGGGAGTTGATGTTCATTTCTGTCTGAATTTGTTAGTGGATCTTTTCTTTGGGGGGAAAAAAACATAAGTCCCTTGTTGTGGTACAACTGGAGTATTACCCATAGTTCTTTGCTAGTAGTTACACTATGATGAGCTAAGCCACTGCAATTCAGCAGAGGTTATTCTACCGCTGCTCTAGAACAAATGGGAGGAGAACTAGGTGCGTGTTTCAGGTGCAGATGTCTCGCTGGGGCCTACCCCAATCCTCAGCAGGCTTCTTTTTGGGTCCTAATAATAACTTGAAAGTGCCTCTTTTTGCCCCTTTTAATTAGTCTCCAGAACGCATATAGCTAATTGGTGGTTCTTAATTGGGTTTAGATTCGCTACTTGTCTGTTCAGATCCCCCTGCACCCCACCCCCAATCCCTTCTCAGTCTAGGTGAAAAGAAATCCTCACACCCCAGCCAGGGGTTTTATGTTTCTTGTCACTTAGCACTTTGATTTCTTGGTGAATTAAGAGCTATTTAATTGGCGGGGTTTCTTTTTATATCTCCATCTCAGTTGGGGAGAGATTTGGATGGTGTCAGAGTTGAAGCTTTTTAAAGGTAAAAGAGGAAGTTTCAAAAGCAGTAGCTTAACACGCTTTGACAGAAACTTATTGTATTCACAGCCTAGAATAAAAATTAACAGAATGGGTAAATTCATGCACAGAAACAACAGGCATAGTTGTCAAGTAACATAGTGACATCATGGTCTCCTTTACACCTGGCATTAACATGCATTTTGTATTTGGATAGTTTAGAGCTTCATGCATCTCGTCTCCAGCATGATTGGATAGAGCCCAAGCAAATTGCATATAACATGAGTTTGTATTAACTGAAACTGCTGCTGTTTTCACAAAAATTTTAAAACATTAACGGATACTTGTAAAATATTTCTGGTGTTTCTTTTGTTTTCTGACTAACGCTTCTATACTAACCCTATGTTGATAGGCATCAGTAGTAAAGAAAAGTTAACAAAAAATCATAGCACTCTCTTCCAAGTGTAATCCAATGAAATAATTTGATATACACTACAGTATATTTAGATATTGTTAATACACTTGGGTGAGAAAATTGCAAAAGCACATTGTCTGCTGTTTTTATTACTTTTTTAGGACTCACAAACCAGCCTATCAAAGTGAAACACATGATTTGCCGTGTAACCTCATCACATATTAAGTTCAGACCTGAATGCAAGTAATGAAAATGCATCTAAATTCACACCGATCATCTTTTAAAAGTAGTTTCAGTCATCCGATCACAATTTGTCTTTTGATCAAGATCAATCCAATCATGCATGCTCATTCCGGTTGTAAGGTGGCTTGTGAGTTTCCTGATTAAACTCCATTATGCTTTAGTTTGTAGTCAGTGAATAGACCGTACACATCAATAGCTTATTCTTTAAATCAATACATACCTCAGGTGTATGTACGATTTCAGAAGTGGTATTGATATTGAAATAAATGTTGTTTTCTTGTTGTATTGATAACATAGTCCATTTAAATACCTTTACGTGGCACTGTAGTAATTCTGCCATCTAATTTGGATGCTGTTGGATATGTTTAGAGCTAATCTGGAGGAGGAACTAAACGCAGCCCTCGACAGAGTTGCAGTGCAGGACCTACAAGAGCATCAGCAGGAGGAAACACAAGGTATCACACACTGTCCTATCCAACACACACTTCAAAGGCATCACTTGCACTACTTAATGTAATGAAATGTAACTGATGAGTGTTAAGCTGTTCCATTGTGTAAACTGTTATAAACATTCTGAATCCTTTCTTTTGGGAGAATGCAACTGATCCTTTCCAGTTCATCTAATACCAATGCCAAGTAAATGAAGTGGTTTATTAATACTAAGTCCCAGGCCCTTATTCTGCACAAATTGTTCAATCTATTGAGGTTTATGGAATGAATTTAAATATGAAACTCCAGTATCCACTCTGGGACTAAATGGTAGCAAATGTGAAAAAATTCTAACACCTGTGTGCTCTGGTTGAACTTTGGTCAGGAGACACCTTTAAGATTATAATTTTTAAAATTCAATCTATGATTAAAGCAGTAACTATTTTTTTGCGGAAACAAGTCTGATGATATAGGCAAAATAACATTATTCCTTAATGTAATTTCAAGACTCATATCCTGTATGCATATTTCTCTGACCCATCATATTAAATATGTTGACTAATGTTATTTTATTAGTATACTATTATAGTATTTATTAATATTTTGAATTATCCTTTATTTTTACATTTTTAGTTTTCATTTTTATTTAAATTTTGGAAATGTTGTTATGCTTTTGTCATTTTTATTAGTTTTGGATGTCTATTTAGATTTTATTTCAGCTTTAATAATAGTGTAGGACTCACCCTCATATTGTTACAACCCTGACTTTCTTTCTTCTGTGGATCATAAAAATAAGATATTTTTAGTAAATGCTTTTGTTTTGTTTTTCTTCCCTCTGGTTACCAACATTCTATAAAATAGTTTATTTTGTGTTCTGCATAAGAAATAAAAGTCTTACAGGTTTGGAACAGCATGAGACATGAGGGAGAATAAATAATGGCAGAATTTTCATTTTTGTGTCAACTATCACTTTAAACTTATTTTTAAAGAATTGCCACAAAAGTATTTCGAATTTCCATTTAAAATATTTTGAGTTTGTTTTTCATCTAATAATTATGTTTTATTTCAGCCATTTTTTTTTTCAAATAACAAAAACTATTTTTATTTCACTCTAAATCCTCCTTTTACCAATTTAAGATTTGTTACATTAAATATTATCCTTTCCTCGGTCAGTGGCAAAATCGGGTCATAGGTGACACAGGGCAGCAGTATTCAGTATGGAGCATTTCCCCACACGCAGCTGCCACAGACACACACTTTCATCTTTCATCCGCTTTCTGTTCCAGTGAAATCACGAAATAAAATTATGACATGACCATTAACCCTTGAGAATTTGAGAGAGGTGGGTCCAGATGTGCTTTCGGAAATCCAGTTTGCTGTATTCCCAATTGATTTCAAATTCACATGGCTCTTTGCACGCCCTCAGAAAGGAGCTTGTACATTCCTATCCGTCAAACGCTCCATCAGAGCGATCTCTAGACACCCTTCTTTGGGGAAAATTGGCCAAATCTTGGTAGGGACATTTCTAAAAGTTGGCAGAAAGTTAGTAACATTCCTACCTAAATCAGTGTTGTTGGGAAGTGTTAGCTACTTTAATGACCAATTTTATTACCACAACAGTGTTTTCTAACATGGCTATTCCATATTCCTTTTGCATTTTGCCTGCTGGATATGAGTGCAGCATAAGATGTGATGTCCGATTTGTAAACAAATGATTATGAACCGATTCTTTTAATTAGCCGTTTCTGAGGTCACAGCTGACTCCTTCATCATGAACCATGGGTTTTGTTGTAATAAATTAATGAATAGTATTCTAAAAAAAACATTTTGTGAAATATACTTAGACATGAAGATTTTTATTTTCTCCCCAAACTGGAAGATATATTAGCAGAGCCCACAGCAGCAACTTTTAGTTTAAAGATAAGAATGCTTTGAAGTAATTTATGAAACACGTATTCCTTTCTATGGACTAGTACGACACTATGTACAGTACCATACAGCCTTTCTGCTAGTGATGCACGATCATGATTTTTCATGGCCGATTCCGATACCGATTTTTTACAAACAAACTGGCCGATTCCGATACCGATTTCCGATTTTTTATTTTTTTTATCAAGCAACAAACAAGAAAGAATAAAAGTACACATAAACAAGATGTTTATTTGGTATTTAACAGGCTAAACTGGGTTTTGGCTATTGAAAACAATAACTGTAACCATCTGAAATTAACAGCAGTAACTGCGCAGTAAGTAGGCTACATTCAATACAAACATAGGTAGGCCTACTGACAAAAGCATTTAGCTTTTGTTTTTAAATTGGGTTGAAACTATAAACTGGCCTTAAATGAAAACATTAACTGTAACCATGTAATTTTAAAGGCAACAACTGCATAGTTCCACAATCCAAACAACACAATCAAAACACATTCAACACTCCAAACAAAGATGTTACTTAATCAGCATTCAGCATTTGTTTTCGTTTTTAAATTTGGTGTAAAGAAAAAAAGGTCTTTACCAGTGAAACTAAATAAAACCAAACTATATAAATAAATTATTCCAAGATGTTAACTACGGCAGGTGCTTTTTAAATCACATTAAGTCAATGTAATTTTAAGGTAAAATAAAAAATATTCATCCTATAGCCTACAGAACTGACGCTTACTTCTGGCTTTTCAAAAGTGCTTGCGAGTTCTTCTTTACAAAAAGAAGCATTTCAGCTTTGTCACAAGTTAGTCTGTTTCGTTTCTCATCCAACACGTGAGAAGCTGAGCTGAACAAACGTTCACTGTCTACGCTTGTGCAGGGCGCGGACAGGTACACTCGCGCAACTTCAGCGAGTGCAGGAAAGCGCTCTTATTTGTGTGCCAGTACACCAACGGCTGTTCGCTTCTTGGTATCTGTGCCTCAGACAGGTAGCTCTGCATTTCCAGTGCTGTACGGCTGCCCGTATCCTTAATCACTTCATATTTTTCTTCCAATATCTCATCGTGCATCGCCAACAGCGCGCTTGCTCTGCGTGGTATTGCTTCTGCTGGCGACTCTGTGCACACTTCCGGAAAAATCGGACAAAAAAAATACAAAAAAACCGATTTATGGCCGGTCAACCGGTGCATCCCTACTTTCTGCAACTCTTCCAAATATAAGCTCATCTTCTAGCAATGACGAAGTGAAAATGTAACATTCAGTGCCTCTCTCTATGGATCTTCATGCATTAGTGTAGGGATTTCATGAACAGGACACTGATACGCCACTGAATCACCATCATGAGGCTTCGAATTAATTCAATCAGGAGTCAACAAAGCTTTCTTTGTATCAGGACTGAAAAGCCAGTTCACAACATATAGAAACCCCGATGTCTTGTGAGTTTTGTTTTGTTTGTTTCCTCCTCTGCAAGGTCTGTGTCAATCTAGGTTCTAAGATCTCCCTCACCACGCCAAAACATGTCTCGTATCACAGACTCTATTGGCCACTGGGAAGACCTTGAAACATGGCTAAGTGTGGCAACAGATGGCCTCCTACCTAAGGCTGCTGAAACACTGAGGCATCAGACACAGGACCAGCTGGATGACAACATAGCAAACCTCAAGTCAATTTGTTAAAATATACTGAGGTCACGGCTCGCTGGACGACCCTTGATTTAAAGTGTAACATAACAAATTTGAAATCGGTTTAATCAGGTGAACTTCGGATTTTCAGATCCGAGTCCTATCAAAACCTGAATGAATTAATAATAATTAATTCCCTTACAAATTTAAGTAATCAAGTTGTTACATTAGGTTGGGATAGAATATGATCATGGATGACTATATCAAAGGATTCTGTAATATGACAAGTATAATTTATAATAAAAAGTCATTTGGCTGTTAAATGTTTCTTTTTATTAGCTTTCATCCTAAATTACAAATTACTAAATCAAAATTACATCCTAGTAATTTTTTTAGTCTGGAGAACTGAGAGTATGACACTTGGATGCTTAATGTGTTGTCAGATTACCCAAAATATTTAATAAACAAATATTCAAGGGTTGGGGGATGTGCAACTTTGTGAATAATGAATTAGAATTCTGCAGAAATCTTATGCTCAAATCTTCAAGTGTGGACTCCATGTCCTAATGATGGTCAAGTATAGTAATTTTCAATCACACTTTATTTTAAGGTCAAATTCTCGCTATTAACAAACCATTAACTATGTCTGCCTCAATAAATTCCTAATTTGCTGCTTATTAGTAGTTAGTAAGGTAGTTGTTAAGTTTAGGTATTGGGTAGGATAAGGGATGTAAAATATGGTCATGCAGAATATGTGCTTTATAAGTACTAATAAACAGCCAATATGTTAATAATAGGCATGCTAATAAGCAACTAGTTAAGAGTGAGAATTGGTCCCTATACTAAAGTGTTACCCAATTTTCTACGTTTTGCTGTCTGTTGTTATTATTTTCAAATCAAGATGTTTAGAATTTTAATTCACCCCCTTTTTTCTTGATGAACCCAGATATATGAGGTATCCTAAAGGCCTATCCGATATACTCATGGCAAGGTTCTTTTCCGTTCTTCATTTAGGGGTAAAAAGAAGTTGGAAATATCATTTAAGTGGTATAGTGTTTGCGAACATCCCGACGCCACCCATGCTGCTGAGAGAGCTGTTTGGGTGAATATGTAAATATGTGCTGCACGCTTTTCTCTTAATAACAAACACACAACAAAAATCACAGTGGTGAGAAAACAGCAGTTAAGAAAGCATCTGATGAGAGAGATGTGGATATGTTTAAACCAGATCTGCAGTTTAGCACTCCAGTCAAGTCACGTCACGTTTATTTATCTAGTGCTTTATTGAGCAAATGTCATTTTCCAATGTTTCTTAAATTGTCGTTTTTCACTAACCTTATTAAATGTCCTCTTTCACATCAAATTCTTACATTATTTCAATGAATTTAGTTAAAATAATAAGAAACTGTAGAGCTGTTATCATTCAAATTTTTCCACTGCAAGAAATTTCAAATGCATAAAGAATTTTATAAGATTAATGTTTTAATATTTTTTTAACACAAATAAGAAATGTTGGGAGAAATGCAATGATAGTTTTAAATATGAAACCAAACCAGTAGGTTGCGGCAAATGACTGTTTGAATGAGTGCGTCCTTTAGTCCTTCATCCAACAGATTCGTTCAAATGACTGATTCATTCAGAATCGAGGCAAGTTACAACTGTCTTTGAATGGGTTACTGAATCATTGACTCACTTGATTCGGTCAAAACAAGGATTCATTCAGTAACGAAACACTGCTGTGTTGCTCGGAGATACAAAACAGTTCTGCTGTGGCTTTGATTGGAACTATTTTCATCAGCGAAATTGAGCAAAAACAGTCAATAGTGTGTCTAAAATGAAAGTCACTGAATTTTTGCTTCTTGTTTATTTAACTACTATTGCATAAAATCACATTGCAATCGTGTTGAAATATTTTGGTCGTTCAATGTTGCAAACCTAAATCATATATTATACATTTCTTTTATTATTTTTTTTACTACCGTAGTATGCATCTATAACTTTCTGTGTGTGCTGTTGCGCTCATTTGTTTTGATTTCTGAACGAGTCTCTCTCGCACTCACTCAGGCTGCGCGAGCTTCATCTGGCACGACATAAATACATTATCAGTCGCCGTATTTGTGACGTCAAAACAGACCGGCTCAGAATCGGTCGGCGCATCTCTAGTGTTTGCAGCGAACTTTTCAAAGAAAGTTTGCTTTGGAAAGCTATTTTAACTTCCAGAACAAATTCCAAACGAACTTCATTTTGACCTGATTTTGTTCAAAATGTCACACCAGTTCTTTGTTTTGCTTGAAGTATATCGGGGCCTTCATTGTAAAAGTGCGATTTTTGAATCTGTAAAAAAAAAGACTTGTAAATTAATAAAATCTTATAACACCATGGGCATTTTAATAATGAATATTCTTTTTCTCTAGTTACGCCAAGCTCTAAAATACAAGTATATCAGGTATAATGGTAAAATACTTTTAAAAATCCAGTAAATCACAGACAACTAGAAAAGTCCTGTAAAATCATTGTTTAAAAGAGAACATTCAGTGTTTAAAACTTGAGTGATTGTTTCTATTTTTGTATTTCTGCACATTGCAAAATTTTGCAGTGAAAATAGTGAGCCACTGTGAAGCCGAAGACTTATGTTGAGCTTTAGTTCTCAGAGTGCAGAAGTGCCATGAGATGGAACACAGCTTGACCATAGAAATGTACACTATTCAAAATAATTATAATAATAATAAAAATATATATTTTATTAAATTATATATTTTTTTACATGTTATTTCCGATGTTAGCAGCACAGTATGAACAGGTAATGGTCCCTTAAATTTTCTGTGGTGTGATCATGCTCAAATAAGAGCATGCGTGTGTGTGCATGCACATGTGAATAGTTGTGTTGTTTTTTTTGTTTTGTTTTTTTGCAAGTGTGTGGTGTGTGCATGAGGCTACAGAGAAAGACAGGTCTGTGACTCACTAGAATTTCAGCCTTGCTTCTTACTGTCCAAAGGTCAGCTCAGAAAAAAAAACATTTGTAAATATTTCACAACATGTTCATTCGACAAATGAGCATCCACATTCACCATGAAACTTGTATTAACCCAAGGCAGCAGAAAGTTCTGCTCTCCAAATGTGTTTATTTTCCCCTTTTTAAATAAGCATAGCAGCAAAGTTCCTGCCATGAAGTCAAAAACACAAACTCCATCATACATTGACAGTTACCCTTAAAATTTATTTGTATTACTCTAAAATAACCTGCAAGATTGCTTCAGGTCAGAAGGTTTTGATTTGTGGTTACAAGTCCCTTTTCTTAGTCTGTTCATTAAAGGCCTCTTTATGAGCTCAATCAGTTGAATAGACCTTTAAAAAGACAAGAAATTATGTGTCATTAATGATAATTGATTTGAATAGGGAAAGTGGCTGTCAGGTGACAGTATGGGTTTTTATTCCTTCAGCAGAGCTTCTGTTTCGGGAAGTGCCGGAGGACGAGGTCAGGAGGAGCAGCACCCCCATCAAGACAACCGCCAGAAGAGTGGAACAGACTTTTAAAAAGGTACCAGTCGTTGGCTGTTCAGCCTTTATATGAATAGCTACATTTTGTGAAGAATAATAATGTAAGGTCACAGTTCCTTACATCATGCTCAGAGCCACAGACTATTACCAGACATTAAATGCATAAAAAGTAAATGGTAACACTTTACAAAAAAAATCAGGTTGATAACATTAATACACAAGTATCATGAACACTAATTTAAACTTTTTAACAGTAATGTCAACTAATTTAAACTAAAGTAATAATTTTTATTCCGAAAGACAGATGTGATGTGTGATGTCCAATTAATCTTTCATATGTTCAAAATATACATTGTCATATAGACAGGTGAATACTGTTGCTCGACTATGTAAAAACCCACTCAATTATAGCTATGCATGTAGGCAAATTAATGAACTATTTTTTTTAGCATTTATTAATCTAGGTTATCTATGTTCATTGTTAATTAATGTTTGTTTATATTAACTAGTATACACTACCAGTCAAAACTTTGGGATCAGTAAGACTTGTAATGTTTTTTAAAGAAGTCTCTTATGCTCATCAAGGCTGCATTTATTTAATCAAAATACAGAAAAAAAACAGTAGTCTTGCAAAATGTTATTACAATATAAAATGATGGTTTCTATTTTAATATCCTTTAAAATATTATAAAAATATGTAAAATTTATCATTTATTTCTGTGATGCAAAGCTGAATTTTCATCAGCCATTACTATAAAGTGTCACATGATCCTTAAGAAATCATTCTAATATGCTGATTTATTAGAATTATCAATGTTGGCAACAGTTGTGCTGCCAAATATTTTTTTGGAAACTGTGATACTTTTTTCAGGATTCTTTGATGAATAAAAAGTTAAAAAGAAGAGCATTTATTTAAAATAGAAATCTTTTCTAACAATATAAATATTTGCTATCACTTCTTAACAATTTAACATCCTTGCTGAATACAAGTTTTAATTTATTTCAAAAAAAGAAAGAATACAAATTTACTGACCCCAAACTTTTGAACTGTAGTGTATATTGTTAGAAAAGATTTCTATTTTAAATAAATGCTCTTCTTTTTAACTTTTTATTCATCAAAGAATCCTGAAAAAAAGTATCACAGGTTCCAAAAAAATGTTAAGCAGCACAACAGTTTCCAGCACTGCTAATAAATCAGCATATTAGAATTATTTCTGAAGGATCATGTGACACTGAAGACTGGAGTAATGATGCTGAAAATTCAGCTTTACATCACAGGAATAAATTAGATTTTAATGTATATTAAAATAGAAAAACATTATTTTACATCATCATAATATTTGCAGCCTTGATGAGCATAAGAAACTCCTGTAAAAAACATAAAAAATCGTTCTGATCCCAAACTTTTGACCAGTAGTGTACATGTAAACAATTGTTGTTTTGTTGAAAGTGCTAAAAATGTATAGATTAACTTTAAAGGGTTAGATCACCCAAAAAATGAAAATTCTGTCATTAATTACTCACCCTCATGCGCATGCGTTGTTTACATGAAGCGGAAGCAAGCGCATGCTGACAAATCCACAAAGACGTGGACTCCACCCACTGTCTACACAAGCCAATCAGATAACAGCCACTCGCTGACCAATCGTAGCATGTTCTCACTATAACCAATGCTTTACCGAAACATTTCTTTACAATCAGGGCGATCTCGCCCTGAAATAACTTAATTCATCTGCATTGGCTCAAATAGGAAAAATAAGGGCAATAAAAATTGGTACAGTAAAAGATGTTTAAAATTGGATTTTGTTAGACCATTAGACCGTGTATCGCCAAGCCACAGTATTACATTTTACGTGCATTTGAAAAAGCCAGAGAACAGCACTTTACATACTGGATATACTGTAGACGCGTTCATAGAAGCGTCATGTTATTCAAGATGGACCAAAAAGTGTCAGTAAGTAACTCACTAATACATAACTGGACTCAACCTCATCAGTGTGGTTCTAGCGATCTACTGTATAAAGCATTATAAATTACGTTTTTAAACATTAATTAAAAGTATTACAAAATGTTTGGAGAGAAAAAATATACATGGGTTCTTTTTAAATGTGTTTAAAGGTGTCGAATATAAATGCATATAGGCTAAATGTAAGACAAGAGATATTCATTGGTTAAAACACTTGATCACACAAACAATATTTCATATGAATCATACTTACTAGTTTTAATAGTAAAAGTTACATTACAGTATCCAAAGTAAATGCAAGGTTTTTTTTTTAATTTTTTTTTTTTTTTTATATATATACATTGGCCACACACAAATACCCAGTACACGCTGTAGTGATGCTGAGGCTGGTACCCATGTTGTCATCTGGGTCCATATTTGATATTATATGTGTCATTATATGTGCGAGTAAATAAATCTGTTCCTGCCCTGATTGTAAATCAAATTGTGATTGGTTATAGCGAAGATACGACTGGTCAGCGAAGTGTGGCAGTTATCTGAATTTATACATCGGTAGTGTTGTGCAGTATTTTAAAATATTATTGAAAGTTGTTGGTAATGTAGTAATGACACCTGAAGGAGGAACAATTGCAATAAAAAAAGTGCTGAGGCTGGTACCTATGTGGACATTTGGGCCCATATTTGATATATGTGTGTCATTGTGTCATGTCTTACGCCGTGTCAACCCTGTTCGCTGTCGCTGCGCTGAAACAGCTGTAACTGCAACTGGACACATCAAAGTGAATGTGCGAATATTTGTCCTTCATCGTGTTGTCCTTCATCGTAGACAGTATCACTCATTATAATGGGTTCTGGTTGCTTTGGATACGTCGCAAGGGTGTTACTGATCATGCTCGGGATCTGTGAAAGATCATCATGTGTGTATAATACTGAGTTTATTCTCATTCGCTGATCCTGATGAAAATATAAAGAAGCCAAGTAGGATTTATTAATGACACAAACAGCACTTCAGTTCAGTTTGAACAAAGTGTCCATAGAATGCAGTTCCTTTCAGGGGTGCGAGTAAATTAATCTGTTCCCGCCATGATTGTAAAGCAAAAAGTGATTGGTTATAGCGAGAATGTGCTATGACTGGTCAGTGAAGTGTGGCTGCTATCTGATTGGCTTGAGTAGACTGTGGGTGGAGTCTATGCGTTTGTGGATTTGTCAGCCCATCTAGTCACTAGAAATGTTTCAAAATCCACAGAAGTGTGCAGCAATCCACATGTGCACAAAAAGCCATTCACAAATGCACAGGAAGCAATCCACAAATGCGTGCAGCGATCTAAAAATGTACAGGATGCGATTCACAAATGAATGGCAAGCAAAGTTGTGTTTGTGACATAAAAAGATGAATATTTGTGAATATGTTTTTAATTTGCAAATCTCATTTTTATTTATTTTTGAATTTAATGATTGTTAAAAAAAAATTTAAAAATCTAATTTTTTTGTAAGATTTATTTGTGTATCTCATTGTATTTATTTGTGAATATGTTTATTTTTTGTTAATCTGTTTACATTTATTTCATAAATATAATAATCATAATCTATTTATTTGGAATAATGCAACAAAAATCTCTCCATATAAAAATATGTGTATATTGGCCAAAAGTAAATTTATACATCTGTAGATATTGTTGAATGTTGTTGGTAATGTAGTAATGCCACCTGAAGGAGGAACAAGTGCAATAAAAAAAAGAAGTAATATTTAGAAATGTTTAGAGATTTTAAAGTCTAATTTAAAATTTTGGTTTTGATTTGTGTCCCGTGCTGTTGGTTTTGATTTTGGGCAAGAATTTTATTTCAGTACATAACTATTCAAAACTAATGCAAGTAGATCACATGCAGAGCTCATTGGTCTAAAACTGGATAGAGGTCATGCAAAATAACAGTTTATAACAATGGGTGTGCTCAGAAAAAAAAAAGTAATGTAGAATGTAGTAAATTAAAACAGCGGTAAAAGCCACCTGTCTTCCTGTAAAATGGATCGCTCATTTAAGCCCTCAACAGCACAACAAAACACCCTTAAGACTCATTTGAATAAAACTAAATTCAAACTGCTCTGTTTGCATTTGCTAGCTCTGCTGGTATTTGACAGCGGGCACTTCATTCATTTAACACAAGCAAATCATTTGTCATTAGTATTTAGCCTGAGCAAATCAAGCTCACACTCTATTCAGAAGCACTTGACTTCCCCTAAAGCAACATTTAGCTTGGTTCTTGCTGGAGGGGCTGGTGAGGACTGAGGGAACATTCTGAGCAGAGGAATGAAATGGTTTGTAGAATAATTTGGAGCAGATGATGGCATTGTGAGCGGTGCCAGCAGCTGCCATATGGTCGTGTAATGGGGGCTGTCATCGCCTTTATTACCGAATGACAAGCACCATGTTAAACTTAATAACCCACAGGGGCAGACTGCTGTTTATGTGCTCCTGCAAACGCGTTATAAATGAAATAATTTTTGATGGAGTTGTGGGAGGGGGTGAGTCGTTGTCAGCCAGCCGTAAAGGGGCCTAATGTTGTTTGAAAGGTGGTGTGCTGCGGCAGTACGGCTGCGAGAGTGCTAAATAAAAGGCAGCGATTTGCCTGGGGGTATACACCCAGCAGGCATCCCCTCCTCTCTTTCACACCCTCCACCAGGATTTGACAAGCTGCCTAAATGGCCCTCTTTTATGTTTAGCCATGAGTAACAAATTTGGGGGGAATCACTGAGTGCCTGCTTGCCTGCCCCAGAAAGGACCCTCTCCATAAAGGCCAAATGAGAGTTTAAACTACAAACGTCTCGAAAAGATGAGGTGATAATTTGCTGTGCACATGCCTCTGCGTACTCCCACAGATCGAGCAGTTACAAAGTCAAATGGTCTCTCTGGAGAGCGAGATCGTGCAGTTGCGAGAAAACAACCGGGCACTACAGGAAGCGAATGGAGCTCTGGCTGGAGAGCGGAGTGTTCTGCAGGCCAGAGTTCAGCTTTTGCAGGAAAGCAATGAGGCGGAAGAGGCCCAGGCCAGAGAAAAACGAGACCGACTGCTGGCCCAGATGCAGAACTTTGAGAGACAGGCGAAAGAAGCCATGAAAGCTGCCGCCCAGGCCAGGCGCAGACTGCTTAAGATCCGCCAGGAACTAGGAGTCCTTCGAGCCGAGAGAGATTTCCATCGGTCCGCAGCTAAATGCAGGGCGAAAGCCGCCACTCTGGCAAACAACAAGATCAGGTCCAAAGCACCCTGGGTTGACGCCTCCAGCAGAACACGCATGTGCTCGACGCTGAACAGGATGGACAGTCCCGCCAAGGACGATTGGGAGGACATGAGCGCAGACAGGTACTTCCCCCACCTTTCACTGTCCCTGTCTCTTTCTCGCTTTCCATCTCTCACACTCTCATTATTTTTCTGACTGTAGGGACAGCATGCATATGCAAAAACACAAGCAAACGGGTGATTGAATCCCAGCTTCTGTCTAGTTGGTATTCAAAAGAGAAAAAAAGAGCAAGAGGGGGGCAGAAAGAGGAAAAAAATCAGATCCTTTGAATTATCCTGGGATGTCTTGCTAGGAGCTTATTGACTGAAATTTGCATGTAGAATTAGCCACCTCTGAGCAGCCGAGTTGAACCGGCGCCAGGAAGCACCTGAACCCGCCCGCAGCACCTCACTTTCTGCCCAATGCCATTTTCCCAACGCCATGAGCCCCGAAATTGACAGTTTGGCCGGTTAATTTAATTTGTGATTCCTTTGCATATTCATCACTGACAGAGGAGGAGTCCTAGGCAAACTCTGGCCAATCAATTGAGTTTTCCTCCTGTGACACTCTTATTCAGCTATAGTCCCAGCATCTCCCTTCTCTCCTCCTCTTCCTATATTTTATATAATTTAACAGGATACATTTTGAATGACTCTGTTCGTCTCTCTACGAGATGTCTACAAGCTGTTTAACATCCTCAGAAATCTTCAGTAATTATTTCATGAAAGTTTTATGTCACCTCCTGCATCAGAGTTTATGGCATGATGGATGGTATGATGATTTCCAATGATACCAGTTCAGATTTATTTCACCCAAATGCACCACTACTAACAGAACGGCATGCTGGAAGCTTTCCAAATCTGTCTCCAAGAGGCTCTTGTATGAGATGCCGGAGCGTTTAGAGTGTCCCAACTGTGCCTCAGCAGTTTGAGTTACACACCACACATTGGTGTTTAAGTTTCTGGGTTGTCTGCTTTTCTGCTAATTAACCACTCTCATGTGAATGCTATGGAATGGCACATAGTAGTCCCCAATATATCTCTTTATCTTGGTAAATAAGTCAACTTTATCTCTGCAGTGACAGTGAAGAGTTCTCTGACAGCCTGGAAAGTCGATATTCTGTTCAAGCTCGACGAGTTTCAAGGAAAACTAAGGTTTGTTACACAAAATGTTTATATTATTTTTAGGACCTTACAATATTCTCTTCTTTTCTGTTTAAGATTTTTTGCTCAAATTAAATAACTGTCATTTGCCTACAAATCAGTATATTTTGTTTTCAACAAGATAGTCAACAGATTCATAAGAAAGACATTTTAAAGGTGATTTCTGCACACCTAACCAAAAATAATGACAAAAGGTTTCAAAAAGACTTTATTTTAGTGTCCTTGTTATGTGTTACATGTACTTTCTATAGTAATAACAGTAAGTTATGCATAATTACAAGCAGCTAACCCTAAACCAAACTCCAGCTCTAATCCTATAGTAAGTACATGTTATTAATTAATACTATTTGCTTCTTATTTGCACAATTACACTGTAACAAGGACACCTTGAAATAAAGTATAACTGAAATGTCCTGAAAATGTTCTCAGTCTGCCACTGGTCATCCAAACAGACTGCATCCTTCAAACTAGGCTGTATCTGAAATTGCATATTTCCCTACTATATAGTAGGCAAAAAACATTATTCAGGGGGCGACCTAATGTTTCCGGCAAGATTCTTAAGTGCGCATCCAATGGTCACTTTACTATCCCATGAGGCCATGGGAGAGGATTTGTAAATGGCAGTAAATCAATGCAACTGATTCTGGTAAGTTACATGACAATGACAACATGACAAATGGATTATATTCATACGACACATTTCCTAACTATATAAAACAATTTAAAAAAATACTCGTAAGTATGCAATTTTTAGATACAGACCAAGTTTCCGTCTAATCAGGTTCTCGATCTGGCAGGATCTAATCCGATTGGCTGGCTTTACACAGCTTCTTAAAGTGCACATAGGTATTCTTTTGTTTGTTTGTTTTAGTTTTTTTGTTGTTGTTTTTTTATTTACAAGCTGCTGTGTTAATACAGGGTCTGTGAAGAGATACAAGGAAAAGAAATGGAAAGAATTATTATACAGGTAGAAAGAATTATTTTACAAATGACCATGAGAGACAATTAATTAGAAACATTTCTAAAACACGTACATATATACATGTATGCATATCATTTTGAACATATGTAATTTACATTTTTTAGTGTGGTAGGTGCCATATTAAATGTGGTGCATTATAATAAAACCACCCCACCTTGACTAGCAAGCAATATAAACTGTGAGCAATTTGTCTTTGGCTTTAAATGCTCAAGCTTTTTACAGTCGGGGTGAATTCCGATTTACTGTTAATGTGTTTATTGTTCATCAGCTGGAAAGAAAAAAAAAACATTCTGAAAGTGATTCAAACAGAAAGCTTTAGTATGAAGTTTTTATATGACATCTACTCAAAGATCAGGCCTAAGCTCATGTAATTGGTTGAAGCAATGTTGCTGTATCCTCAGAGCCTAAGTTGTAACACTTTTGAACAGAATCAATCTACAAATAGCTTATTTATAGTTAAAAAAAAATCCGCTCTTCACCTTGAAATTGCCTCTTTTCATTTGCAGAGCGAAGAGTTAAAAAAAAAAACATTTTATTCTTGACTTTAAGCAGCTGTGTCGATTGGGAGATGTGTATCAGAGGTGTCTGTTCCTGTAAAGTGCGATCTCTTCTCGGGGACTCTCAGGGCTCCACTGGCTCTCCCCCATCCCCTCAGGGAACATGGAAGCTCCATATCTTTTCCTCTTTTCGCTTCCTCTCAGCTCTACAGCTGTCAGCCCTCTCTTAGATCCTGCCTGAATGCCTCTGTGTATTCGTCAACCGTGCTAGCTCACATCGGCGTGACAGTGGAGCAGAGCACTGCGCCGCACGTGTCACACTAAAGAGCTTCTGAATAAATCCGTGAACAAACCCACAGAGAGGGAGAGAGAGACTGATCAAAACCTTTTTAAATAGTGTTCGATACAAACGAGGGGAAAAGCCAAAGCCTCTTTGATGTGACTACAAACGCTTCCTCTGTGTCACTCTGCCGTGAGCCGCCACGTTACGTTATGTTAAACTGTTGCCCCAGCTTTTTGTGTCATGTGTTGTGTGTTTCCACCTCTTGCCTGCTTGCAGGGCTGCAGGTACATGCTGATCTGCCCCACAGACAGGCCTGGAATGGAATCTCAAACCAGAAACATCCAATTCCAAGGTAACCTGGTTGACGCAACTGTGCTCAGGCGCTTGCATAATGAGTGATTGTTCGCTCTTGATTGCTTGTACGGTCCTTATCCTATAAATTCTTTAAAAAAAAACAAATAGAAAACTCAACCTACTGTAAATATAGAAACAGTTTCTCTTCAATTTCATTCTTCAAGCAAAATATGTAATTTGCAATTGTTAAGATGATGATTGTTTATAAAAAAAAATAAAAAGCTTGCCCAAACATTCCTACTTCCTCTTCTGCCCCACTCCTATGTGTTGGTTCAGTCTAGCCCCCAAATTCATTCAGTTGTGTCAGAAATTGGCACTGGATGGCTCAAACACATTAAAGCATCACATTGTTTCAAATCAAACAAATTAACCTGTTTATGTACAGTAGTTATCTATAAGACAGTAAAATAGAAATAATTTTATTGTCACGAAATTACAGACAATTTATGAGGCTCATTCACTGTGTTGGTACATTTTAGTTGCAAACTTCTAATCCTCTTCTTGAATGCCTATAAATTATACAATTTTGCATTGTTACTGGATAGATAGATAGATAGATAGATAGACAGACAGACAGACAGACAGACAGACAGAGAGACAGACAGACAGACCCTCAAGACTGGAGTAATGTCTACTAAAAAATGAAAATATATTTAAACAGAAAACAGTTATTTCAATTTGTACAATTGCATTTTTAATCAAATAATTGCAGTGAATATGAGTATTATTATTATGAGTAATACTAATTTCTAAAGCATTAAACATTTAGCTTTGCAATTACAGGAATACATTTTAACATTTAAAAACATTTGAAACATTTGAAAAGTAGTTTTAAAATTGTAATAATTTCACAATATCACTCTTTTTACTGTATTTTTTATTAAATAAATGCAGACTTGGTGAACATAAGAGACACTGGAAAACTTACCCACCCCAAACATTTGCATGGTAGTGTAAAGCTAACTGAAAGCGCAAAACAAGGACATTTTTATTTCTAATTAAATTAATTAACCTTTTTAAAGGAACACAAGCACATGCCATGATGTCTGTTTTGTAGTATGTGGGGCATGGGAAAACTGCACAATTACAAAATGTGGTCCTCTATATTGTATTGTTTATTGTTTTGTTATTGAAGACATAACTTCACATTAACATTTTGCTGAAGCAAAATCTTCCTTCAGTTTTTTTGTGAAAATAAAGACTCGAGGGTTTAACCAGAATGCAATTTTGCATAAGAAGAATTTAAGAAATTAAAATAGCGTTTAATAAATTATAGACATAAATACATTATTTTGTAAAATAATATTCACTGAAATAATATTATAGTCACAGCAGTCACAATAACAATTTTCAAATTAAAGCAGTGGCTGTAATACTGTGGATATAATATTGTTATTATACTAGCTGGTTTTGTACTGTAAGGCATAATTAAAGTGTTGTTACAACCTTAGGTATCCACTGTCAGATTGGAAGAGACTGACAGTAGCATTGTCCTCTTCACCACCCTCAGGTGCCTCCCAGCAAAAGATCAGGAAGAAAAGAATTTCAAAGTCCCATGCTGTTTTGCAACAGCGTCTTCTGTCCCTCCAGCAGCAAGTCACAGCTCTACAGGCAGAAAAACAAGCAGCACAGCAGCTTGCAGCAGAGCAGAGCCACAGACAAGTGCAAACTCAAGTGCAGTTAGACTTCCTTCTCCAGCAACTCAATGCCAGCAAGCAGCTTTCAAAGGTACTGCGAGACCAGAGCGTCTCCACTAGCACTTTATTTACTCCTGGGGCTATTTAAGGAAATTATGAAATTCAAAAATAACTAAGCTAAATAGCTAAGTTAGAGTTTAAGTTACGACTTTAAACCTTATGCTTTAAGGTACACAGTAAGTGATTTATTAATGTATTGGTTTATTTCAAATATTAGTCATTACAGCTTTATCATACTAAATATGTATAATACACACAATATAGCATACTTGCAGGGCTTATTGGATGGAAATACTATGGACTGCAGGAAAGAAAGCCAGAAAGGCCTCTTAGAGAAGAAGAAAAAAAGATTAATAGATGAAAGCATTTGTTTATATTCAACAGCGCTGAATTTGTTGTATTAAACAAGGCCAATCTTTTTAATTCAGCAATTTGAATTGCACTTAGCCACATTGTTTACAATATTATATTATTTATAACTATTTATTTAAATATTATTAATGATTTATTTAACTGTTTATTTATTTATTCTTGTCTTTTATTTTCTATAATTTTCTTTATTTTCCTCCAAAGAATATTTTTGTGAATTTGGTCGCTGTAGTCTAAAAAATTGTCTTTTGGAGTGATCTGTGGAGACAGACTTCATGATGCTCATGCTTATGTCAATTTGTTTTCAAATGTACATGCACAGTGTCGTGTGCTGGCTCCCGTTAGACTGTGCAGTTGGAAATTCCAAAACACACCCTGCTGCAATGACATTTTGCAAGTCTGTGTGTGTGTGTTTGCACATGCGCATTTATGACTGTTTGTTTGTTCAACTCAAAATCTTGCATTATTAATGGAGTGGTGAAAGGGCAGCAGGTTGAGTGCCCCTGCACGCTGCCCCCTGCTGCCCTGTAGTGTGATCACCCTCTTTAATTGGCTAGAGGTGGAATGTCCAGATTTGATCCTCTTGTCTGATGAGGTGATGAAAATCACAGTAGTGTATGGAACATGACTGTGTGTAGTTTGTTCATTTGAGAATTTTTTTCCTTCTTTGGCTTATATAAGAATGATTTTTTTGTAAGAAAACTTTACAGGGAATCAACAGACAGACAAAGAATCCTGTAGAGTGTATTGACTAGGGCTGTAGTATTGACTAGGTCTGTAGATTACATTTACATTTACATTTAGTCATTTAGCAGACGCTTTTATCCAAAGCGACTTACAAATGAGGACAATAAAAGCAGTCAAAACTAACAAAAGAGCAACAATATATAAGTGCAAATGACAAGTCTCGGTTAGCCTAACGCTAGTACACGTAGCAAGGTGTATATATGTGTATATATATACACACACACACACACACACATACACATACATACACATACATATACATATATATATATACTCAGGAAAGTTTGAGAGCAGCACATCTAATTCTTCCACGAAGTTACCTAGTGGTCCTGGGGGTCGATAAACAACTATAAAATGGATTTTAAGAGGGTGGGTAATAGTGGCTGAATGTGATTCAAAGGAGCTGTTGATACTCAGAGATGGTAAAGGATTAAATTTCCAATCATTAGAGATAAGCAGACCAGTACCTCCTCCTCTTCCAGTCAGACGGGGGGAGTGGGGAAAAGAGAAATTATTTGGGAGTGCTGCAGGTGTAGCATTGTCCTCTGGTTTGATCCACGTCTCTGTCAGGGCCATGAGGTTTAGTCTTGAATGACTTGTAATAGAAGTAATAAAATCTGTTTTGTTTACAGCAGACTGGCAATTCCAGAGACCAATAGAAAAAGAAAATTTCTTCTTCAAAAAAAATTTAAAAAACAAATTTTTTTTTGAAGAACTCCTTCCCTTCCAACCTTTCCTAAAGTCCTATTGGCTCACGCCAGTCCAAATGACTGGCCAATTGTCGCGAAGTATGCAAATCGCATGCAAATACTGACGTGCTCGAGAGGCAGTATAAAAGGCGGTGCACGTGACAATTACGTCAGAATCTGATACTGAACACCGCTTAGCTGGTCGAGCAGCGAACACGGCGACCTCCGTGATGTCTCGTTCCCGCTCTCAGGGAACCGAGGTTACGATTCTAACCGAAGACTTTCACGAGACATCACGGAGACATTTCTCCATTATGGGAACGATATTCAATCCCGCCGTGAGAGAGGCTACGGTTTTGATTTTCACAATTTTTTTCAAAAAAAAGATTGATTACAAAATAATTAATTAATCGTACCGTTTTTTTTTTTGTAATTAATAATAATGAATTACATCTAACATTATCTGTAACATATAATTTGTAAGCATTCATATATTTTCACATTCTCCAAATGTGGAAACAACATCAACAAAAACAAGAGCAAAGATAGTATTTTACATATTTGTTTAATGGCTTATTTTTAACACCTTAGATTATGGAACACAAATTTTAACAAAATTTATTAACCACTCTACAAAAACGAGTCAGATATGGAGCTCGTTTTTTAATGTTAGCCTATAAATACGACATACTTTTTGGCAGAATTCAGCGCATATGAATGGACCCATACACAGGACACGGACACACATACCAGAAGCTTTCACTCGGAAGAGAGCGCAAAAACACAGCACAAAAATGAACGAAACAGATCGCTGCAGCTGCAGCCGAGCAGCAGTTAAGCTGGTTGTGATGAAAATAGTATGCGTGCTTATTATGATTATTAGGGTTATCTGCAGGAAGCGCAAAAAGACAATCCTTGACGTGTGAGTCAGATATTGACTGTCATTTTTTTCTTAAAGGGGTCCTATTATACTTTTTCACTTTTTCAACTTTAGTTAGTCTATAATGTTGCTGTTTGAGCATAAAAAAGATCTGCAAAGTTACAAGGTTCAAAGTCCACTTCAAAAGGAGATATTTTATTTAACAGAAATCACTTTTCAAAAACTACAACGAACGACTCGTTTGGACTACAACACATATTTTCCGGGATTTGTGATATCACAAATATCGACGGATGGGATGAGACCTGGTTGAGCTGCACTAGAGAAGGCAACGAGTGTTATCACTATGTCGGAGACAAGCTAGCTTTCCCAAGGCTGACGAACTTAGAGTGGTTACAATCATCCGGGTTTAAATCGCGCTCAAATAGATTTGATATTGACGCAATATTTACACTGTAGCTCACAAGGCTATGGTAGGGGCATGACATTTCACAACCAGGCACCGAGTGGAGCCAATCACAACACAGAGAGGTGTTGTAATAATGTAAAATATGTGAAAGATAATGTGTTTTTCGAACAACCTAGTATGAGACCCTGTTCTAGTACACCCCCAAAACAAAATCAAGACTTTGTAAAAGAGTCTAATAGGACCCCTTTAAGAAAAAAAATTCAGATGTTCTTAAGAACATATTTGAGAACTTTAGAACTAACACATTAGTATGTATTAGGCAGTGAGGCAAATATTAATATGCTATGAGTTGATATAAGGCTCCACCAGTGCTAACTATGGCAGCCAGGATAAAAGACAGCAGCCCACCATCACGCCATCAGCTGGAGTAGTGTGGGTTTTACAGCTTGGGTGTCAAATCTAGCTCTGCACCTTTGAATGTAAATATACTCGTGTATATTCATGAGCTCACCTAGCCGCATGCTCTGCCTTTTATTCTAGATAGAATTATTAGAGTGGTGTCTGATTCCACAGTCAAGTAAAACGCTCCTCCATCAGCAGATGTTCGGATGCAGGGAGGAAATAAGAGAGCAATTTTGTTCACTAAAACATTTTTTAAATCTAAATAAATGGAAAGTACTTTTGACATTTTAAAAAATGAATCATTCACATGAGATTTTAGTAGTGTAGTAAAAGCTATTTTAGTCTACTCTTGGTATGTTATCAGAAAGTCACTGACTTAATGGTTTGGTGAAATACACTGATTCATTTAGAAGTGAAAAAACTGTGTGTTGCTCGGTTTCATGCAAAAGTTGATTCTTTTTGTTGGAACAAATTTTACTATACATTATTATCGGAAAATTAGATAAAGTAACACAATATTGTATATAAAATGTACGTTTCTCAAAATAAATTTCTTGTTAACTGAGCTGTTGCATAAAAGTAAAATCACACTCGCTATTGTGCTTTTGTTCTGAATATCATTACAACAACATAATTGCAGGAATGATGTTTTATTTAACTGTTCTTTTAACTTGAAGTTTAAATAATTTGCCTTTTTTCTGCAATTGTATTGTGACACTTTTGTTATGAGCCAAGTTACACACTAAGAATAAGCACATTACTTGTATTCATTTGCAAATTCTGGTGCTTGTTTTTTTTCTTCTTCTTTTTCCCCTCTGTGTGAGAGTCTGTGTTTCTTCTGTATTAGTGTTCGTGTCGGGTGTCACACTACTCTCAGCTCACATTGATCCCTGTGCCCTTTGTGGTCTGGTATCGATCCTTTATTTTGCTCATTTTAATGTCTCTCTCTCTCTTTCTGTCTCTCACCCTCTCTCTCATTATATTGTCTAGGCAGAAAAGACAAAGCTCCTGTGATAAATGGCCAAGATCAATTAAAGCTTGAAGCAGAGTAGTCGTGCTGTACCAGAGTTGAAGTGTCACAGAGCTCCTGTAGCGATCACACGGATGTCATATGCAGTATTAGCAGAGAATGGATCTCTTATTACAGACTCTGTGATGTATATTAGATGAGTTGAATGGCTTCTCGCTTCCCTACATGTGTTAGAACTGCAGTTGATGGTTGTTTTAGCAGCACCTGATATAATGCATCTGCAGTAGTGTGTGTGTGTGTGTGTGTGTGTGTGTGTGTGTGTTGCTTGTTCTCTCTAAGTGGAACACATGCTCAACAGTGAAGTGACACTTTCATCAGTCAATCACAGTGCATATCCCTGAGGAGCTTCCAGCTGATGCCTCCTTTTTTCTCTCTCCTTCCTTTATTAAATAAAGAATTAACATATTTTATTTTATTAAGTGCTCCAACCACAAGCTGGTGCTGTGACACAATAAATGTAGGTGACAAAAGTGCTCTATGTGTCATGAATCTGAGCTCGTGTTGTTACGGATGACAGAGGAAGTACACTTGATGTACTTTGACAGGTTGGACACATTCACCTATCTACCCCCACTCAGGTCAGCTTTCTCGTGAAGACTACTGTCACACCTTTGAGCCGTTCAGATTAATCATGGCGGTGGGATTAATCATAGTGTGGCAGAACCTCTCCTATCACCACGGCGGAGGGACTTGACAGCCTGTTTGACAGGCCGGGCCTGTAATATGCGTAATTTGCAGGTGTAGTCCATGTTCCTCTTTTAGGAAGGGTCGGGATTACCTCAGGATTAGACTTCTCTTCTGACAGCGAGGCTTTCAGAGGCTGTTAGCGCTAAGCCAAACTAACCTCCCCACATCTCGTCCGAGTTGGGTGAGAGAGACGAGTGTGACTGGATTCTAACAAGCTTGACAGTTTAATTTACTGCTCCAGGTGACTGACTGGTCATGGCAGTTCGTAAATCACTGATCTGTAGAAGCCGTCTACTCAAGCATTCTCACACAAAAAATTCTAACAAAGGATTCTTGGGGTCCACGTACAATTTGAGAGAAAGAAACACTAATGCATTTTACTAAATGCTTTTTTAGGACTGTTACGTGTTAACTTCTTATATAAATTAATTAAATGTGTTTTTTAATTGTTTTTAACACATTTAGCTAATTTTATATTACTATTATAGATATTTATTATATAATTATATAATGCATTGTGTGTAACAATTATTTTCCACATGATACAAATTATACAAAATAATATATTTTTTTGTTGAAACAGCCCTAGTTTAATCATTCAGAAATAATCCTTATTTATTTAAATTTGTATTTATTCTAAATGTTTATACAGCTTTCTTAATTATCTTAATTATATTCTATAATTAATTTATAATGAATTTATAAAAGAATTATAAATATACTGTGTGTGTGTATGTGTATGTGTATGTATATATATATATATATATATATATATATTTATTTATTTATTTACGCCTTTTTAAATTTATACCTTTATATTTTTGAAAGTCTCTCGCAAGGGTATTATCATATCTTGGGGGCCTTGGCATCAAATAATTTGAAAACCTGTGCTTTTTAGGACAGCTTATAGGGGACCAGAGGATGTGTCAGTATGTAAACAGAAAGCCACATGATCCTCCAGTGCAGGGTCATTTATTAAACCCTCAGATTACTGGAAACACCATCAATGCAATGCCTCTCAGTGTGTTGCCTCAGTGTGTCTTTCATTAGCACAAACCAAAAAAAAAATTTCAAGAAAAGAAAGAAAAAAGACAGAGAAAGAGAATGCTTTATTAAAAGGTCAGAAACCAGATATCAGCAGTTGCATGTTTGAGATGTTCCACAAGAAACTGTGTTTGTGTGTGTGGACGTTTTCCTCTGATTTACCCCATATTGTATGCTGGGTGCAGTAAGAAATCATTATGTTTGGACAGAGGGTGAAGTATCACATCTGAGTGTTGTTATAAATTCTGTGGTTTTATTCCCCAAACAGGGCTTTATGTTATTCACTTAGTTCTATGCAGTAACTGTGTATGTTAGTGAGTGAGTGAGCAATTAGTCCTAGTGCTCAGCTTTCAGCTCTACGAAGTGCTGATAAACTCCCAGAGTGTGCATTGGGACGAGCCGACAATGGCTCTATTAAGGCTGACAATCAACAGAAAAACTGAGAAATTATCTGCCTCCTTATTAGCATAAAGCTTTAATCGGATTTAGGGCTTTAATCACAAACTGCTACGTAGTCCTGAGCCTAAAAAAATGCTCCTTAATCATAAAATTCTCCAGAAAATGTTTAATCAGACTTTTGCCTAATTGTCATGTAGCTTGCTTAATTGATACTTATCTGGTCCTTTGTTATGCAGCTGTTGTAAGAGCTCCTACATGTGGATTTGTTTATTCGTTTTTTGTGTGTTGGTGAGCAGAAGCAGGCGTGCGAGCTGGCTGGTCTGGAGCAGCAGAAGGCATCTCTGCAGATGGAGTTAGAGCAGTGGAGACGAATACGGCAGCAAACGTTAATGAACCCCCCTGCCGTAGACCCGGAGCACCTGCAGGCCCAAGTCAAACAGCTCACTCACCGACTGAAGGTCTCTTACAATTATTTTCATTTCAATAGGTTCATCTTATGTATTTGATTGATCTATTAAAACAGATTAGAACCTGTGTGGGAAGATTAGTATCAGTACATGAGTACAAAATATAAATAGACATTTCTTCATGACACAGATTTATGAAATCACTGTTTTTGGAAGTATTTTCTTTGTAAAGGCCTAAACAAAATGGATATTTTGAGTATGTATAACTCTTTTGTATTTATTATTTACATTTGCATTTACTTATTTAGCAGTCACTTTTATCCAACGCAATTTATGAGGAACATAACAAGCAATTCATCACAGGCCAACAATATTCACATGTAATGTCAGGTTTATTAGAAAACAAAAGTTGAAAACAAGGTATATATAATACAAAATAATAAAATGCAATATAATATAAATAAGGAATAACTAATGGCGGGCCTTTGAATTATTGACAAATAATGCACACCTTGAGGTAATAATGCGGCCGCGACATGCAGCGGAGTGGCTGTTACACCTCGGGTGGGTATTATTTTTCAATAATTCAACTGTCTTAAAATATTTAAGAATGTTAAATAATTTTATTATTTGTTTATGTATCCTCTGCAATAGTTTCTCAACCATTTTTAGACTATAGTAAGATGAGAAAATTAACCCGTTGTTGATATTTTATATAAAAATATGAAATATATTATTCATTAAATATATTGTTAAAATAAAATGTATACTCTTTTACATTATCCCACCACTTTCTGCTTTAGCTTTGTAAAGTGGAGTAGTACAGGTGTGTATTTGCTAAAGCAATATCTAATTGCATTTAGACACCTTCAGTTAAAAGTAATCGTAGGTCTGCTATACTATGGTTTAACTCCTTTGTTAAATAGAATTGTTAAATATAGACGGACGGACAGATAGATAGATAGATAGATAGATAGATAGTTTATATTATTTATACACTATATTTATTGATAAATTAAGACATGCATGGATTTGATGGCCAGAACATACAAACAAAAAAGCTGAAACTTGAAACAAAGTTCAAACATGCATTGAAATGTTAAGTTTGACTTTCTCCATTTGAACTGTTTTTTCTCTTCTTTTTTTTCTTCTTTTTGTTTTCTCCCTATAAACAAGTTTTGGTCTATAATATCAGCAAATTGAAATATGGGGTCTGGCACTGCTCTTTATATTTTTGTGTTGGTCTCAATGGTAGTGTCATGTTCAAGAGACATGAGAGTGTGTGTGGGTGTGTGTTATATGCAGTCAGGATGTGTGCTACATAAACGAGTCCTCCATTCCTTTCAACTAAAGACAAGGTGCACATACAAATATCCATCATTCACATGATCACAGGCATCCCACCAACTCAACCTGTCGTCAGAGTTTTCAGTGTGCCTCTTACCTTGACACACATTCACAGAGGTTGAACAAATCTGCCACTAAATAGATCCAAAACCCAGCATAATAAATAATGCTATAAATGATAAATATATAAATATACAGTGCTACAATACATAATATAAGATTTAGCGACAAATAAGGATGTCTGAGATGATGAAAATGAGAAATGAAAAAAAAAACTACTTCAGAATACAATTGTCATTGTATTTCTGTTCTGTTCTATTTTTAAAAACGTTTAAACCATTTTCTACAAAATTTGGATTAATGGCTCTAAACAAATGACATGGAGTATAACTATTAAGTAAATTCTTGCTTTGATATATGACTGTGTGCACATCATAATCATTTAATTAAAAAAATACAATTATTTTAGCTTATTTTGCTTTTTGTGTTTGTTTGTTTGTTTGCAAATTATGAATTACGAATTTTCATGTTACTCCATTTGGCCAACCTTGCCTTTTCATAAAAAGGTCAGCATATCTAATATATTCTAATATCAAAATAAATAAATAAAAAAATACTGACAATGGTGTACAGTCATGAGGTTCTACAGCGGGGCCTCTCTGTGATTTATTATTGAAACTGAAATTGTTATTTCCTGTTTATTATTTCCTTTATGGTTCTCTTGTCATGATAACAAATAGATTTCCTGCGTTTTGCTGACTTTGATTTGGCAAACTTTTTTTTCTTCAAAGATTTACCATTTCATTCATGTCTTCCTTTTTAAGAAATAATAATAAAATATATATCAAACTACTGTACATAATTTAACTTTTTTTTTTAAATATTAATGAAACATTTTACTTTATTACAATATCCGGACCATTACATTACCGAAACATTTATTTACTTAAAGCCTTACAAAAATGCACATATAATTGTACATATTTTTTAATTACCTCATAGATCTGAATAAAAAATTCACGTCACATCATTGACCATATGCCCATACACAGGACATATGTAGATGTGTACATTTCTGTGAAACAGATGTGAAACAGCATCCTCATTAAGCATCCCGATGGCTCAATATTCATAAATGAGTCCTGCACGATGGGATATCAGATGATAGGATAAATGTGCAACTCTTTCTCTCCACAGAATGCCAGCAGTGAAATGAGCAAACACACTGCTGCTAACAAGAGCCTGAGGGCTCAGTTAGATGAAAGAGATCAGACACTGAAGGAACTGCACGAGAGGTAAATGCTCTCTATCCCCTCTCTTTCCTTCTTAGTCTTGGGGTATTCTCACTTCTTCACCCTCTATTTCTCTTTCTCGTGCTCTGGGTCACATTTGCAGTGTCTGATTCCACCATGTGGCAGACTTCAACACCATTCGTAGATTTTTTTAAAACCATGAAGCTGGCTGCGTATAGATACATACTAGCAGACAGAAAGAGACAGTGACAGGAGCTGTAATTTCCTTCCCATGTAGTTATGCACTATCGTCATAAGATGTCTTGCCCTGGGCACCGAGACATGTCTGACAGTCTGTTGTGTTAACTGGTTGCCTTCTCCCTGTCCTTTTTACTTCCTTCCTTTCTTTCTTTCCGCGTCACTCATTTCGAGCCATCTCAGTGGGATAAAAAATGGCTGTTATTATAAATAAAACATTTAGTGAGGTTTTGCTTGAAACAAGTGCAAAAAAATCTGCCATTAAGGCAAATACCATATTTTTTTGCAATTTCTCCTCAGGAAAAAAATGATCTGGTTTGAAGTACGTTCACATCCCTACTGGAAAACAGAGATATGGATTGGGAATAGTTTTTTTTTTTTCTTCCCAAGATGTACTTGCTTAGAAGTGTGTGAATGTCGCATGGTGTGTCCGCAGACACGTAAGGGGTTCCGGGGTTTCACGCCAGTCTATCACAACATGTGAAATCACAGATGAGGAGTCCCTGTGAGCAGAAGCCGCCTTACGCCACGCAGCTTGTTTAAATGAAATACATGTCTAGACGCTGTAAAAAATACATCTGCTGCACTGCCTTAAAAAAAAGTGAATTTCAAAGCATGCTGCCATGTCCTGAGTCAATATCCGGCGCAGAGGTCTCTGCCTTATTCATAAAGGCCTGCCTTTCATGTGCCGCCTGTTGTCTTTCCATATCATAAATGTATTCATCTCCTTTGTTTTCTACTGCAAACTGCGTATCCATGATCTATGAAAGCACTTACAACTGTATTAGCATCCAAAATGCATTCTGAATTAGCAATCTAGCACCTCAACACCAAAGAGACAAAGCGGAGAGTGCGAAGGAAAGCGTTCAAACGATTTAGCGAGCCAGGCATCCGTAGAGGAGCTGTTTTGAGGCTTACGCCAGTCATCAGTATCACCATCCTGCTATTCTTTTTGGGGGCGAGCTTACCCCTAAAATAAATGTTATAGATCTAATTGCCATTTGCTCTCTTGAGCTTTGGGAAAGATGGAGTGAAGTGGGGGAGGATGAGTGAAGCGTGGCTGTAAGTCAACAGGAGAAACGCTTTGTCCACTCTACAGCGGGGTCAATATGGCTTTTCTCATTAATGGCTGTTGGGTAACCTGACTCCATTTCCCCAGGCCACCCAGTCTTATTTAATTTAATGTCACTCCAATAAGAAGCTCTCGCATTTATTCAGTGCATTTGCTTCAGGCACTCTCTCTCTCTGGAATTTGAGGATATTTATTTAAAAGGACCTTTACTCATCATTACAGCAGCTCTGGTCAAGGAGGCAGTCCATAAAACAGTCCTCAAATGTTAACATATTCCAACACTTTTATATGTCAGAGATGTGTAGATGTTTAAACTATTTAGGAGGAATCTGGTTACAATACTGCTGGCATTTTATTTGTTTTCTCTCTGTTTAATTATTCATTTCCATTTGTTAATTTTTAAAGTGAGCGTGTTCACATAAAAAAAAATGTATGTTCTTGAAATGTAAAAAAAAAACACCAATGTTTATGTGCATATGTACAGGGTTGGTGTTTTAGAGAGGGATGTTACGATGAAAAGGCAGCTGGTGGAGGATCTCAGGTGCAGACTAAAGATTTGCCAGGACTCCGAAAGGAGCCATAGAGCAGTGACTGAAGACTTGGAAAAGAAAGTAGGTCCTGCTCGAACAACAGATACTGTACTAGCCATGGCAACAGCCTTGGAGCAACCTGGAATTAATTATTCTCTCTGCCGTTATTGATTGTGTCACTCATCCAGAGTCTGAACTTCCTAGACTTCCACATTTCACTGTCTGTTTAAAAATAATGAAGTAATTGAATTTTCGGTCTCAGCGACCCCACTCTTACTTAATAACAATTGCTTTTCTTTTTTAGATGAAATCTCTCACTGATGAGTCAACTAACCGGAAAGCCCTTGTCGACTCTCTAAAGAGAAGATTGACAGTTGCCACTGCAGAAAAAAACCAGCATGAGACAACCAGCCAAAAACTCAAAGAAGAGCTTCAGAAAAAGGTTCAAGAGCATCTATTCATCACTCAGTAATTTTTAATGTTACTTCAGTATTTTTATTTTTTTTTTACTGGTGCTTATCCTGCATGGTATTGTAGATTTTTCTTTCTTTCTTTCTTTCTTTCTTTCTTTCTTATTATTCACCTAATTACCATCAGTCTCATTTGATGTTTGGCCCCAATGCCATACTTTTCATTTCATCTTCTGCTATTGATCTGTGGGTTCATTGTTATTTTACTAGATATCTACTATATACATCTGTTATCTATGTGTAATGTAATGTCCTAATTTATGAAATGATTGTTAGAAGTTATTTTAAGTGTGTTTATTTTGGTGGGATTTCTGATTTCTGCTTACACATCCCCAGGAGCAGAGAGTGGCTGTCCTCCAGGCGCGCATAAGCGAGCGCGATCAGGCCATGGCTGAGCTGGAGCAGACTGCGTCTAAACAGATGCATGGTTTGGCCGAGCAGAGCTCTCAGGCTCTGGAAACACTGCAGAGAAAACTCGCCCTCGCCGAGTCCCAGCTGCACCAGTTCCACACATTCATTGAGGTATCTGAACATTCAGTTTGTCTTTGTTTTCGTTTTAGGCCATTTACACTTGGTGTTAATTTAAGTCTTGATCAATCCAATCAGCTGATACATATTACTGTTGTTTACACCTGGCAGTAACGTGTCTCAAATATGTCTCCTGTGATCACTTGTGATTGAATCAAAAAGTCCGTATTTGTGGCTAAATAGATCATATAGGTCAGAGTATGATGAAGGGGAAAAAATAAAGTAAAGAAGGTTAATCTAAGCAAAAATTTGATTTTCAAGAAGTTGTGTGAGTTTCACAATCCTGCATGTTGATATCAGGCATTCTGAAGAATTACATATTTGCATATTTTTTTACATTATCAGTTCTTTAAAAAAAACTGCTTGTAACAAGTAAAATTGTTTTAAAATGGTGGTTGATTGACAGGTGAGTAGGTGGCCCTTGTTGTGCTGATGCAGTCAGGACAGACTAGCGTTTACATTGCAAATGCAACGAGGTCATTCGCATTTTTTAATCTATTGAATGTGGTTTCAGCGATTAGATCACAATACATTTATTTACAACTCTCCGCTTGTGATCAGATCACCTGAAACAGAATGTGTAAACGGGGTGTTAGATGCAAGATATGATCAATACGCTGGCCCTAGAGAAAAAAAAATATGGATTCGATTCTAAAATTCCTTTGCAAAAATCTGTCATCAAAAGCCAGCATGTTTTTGTAGCCTGTGGTTTCGTATAGTCAACATAGTTAACCTGTAGCTGATTCCTGCTAGTGTGTTAATGATGGTCCCCGTAGACGGCCCAGCTCTCTGGCCTACATCCCCCTGTCATGGATTGATGAGCTTTGAACATGCCATTCTGTCAGGAAGCTTCAAGACGGATCTTTTGGGATGATTATAATGCCATTTGGGGATCCACCGAAGAGCTTTGTTTGAATTATGCTAATGTATGTGGCCATGATTAATTGATAGCACGTAGTGTATTATAGTGCAGGTGCAACAGGAATGATTTCATGCATTTAAACTGGAGGAATAGTTCAAATTGCATTAAATGCTTGTTGCAGTAATAAAGACATCTTTAAGACAGCGTGCTAGATTAGTATAACATGAAGTCATTAAGACACCTCATTAACACAGCCCTATCCAGCGTTTACTTGTGTTGCTGGTAAACATTTACTTTCCCCATTCAAGTGGTGTTGAGAGTGAAAAATGCCAAATGTCATAAAAGATTTAAGATAAAGTCTAATTTATTTTCTCAGTAATTTCCTCAGTAGTTTATCTTCTAATACAATCCAGCGTGGTTTAATGCAGGTAAGTCATTTAAAGAGGAATTTTTCTCCTCCGCTCCTCTAATCCTTCTCCTCTGCAAGAGAACTGCTAAATTGGCCCTGTGGCTACAGTGATTGTGGGTAAGAACCCTTCTCCTCTTGGCCCCCATCACACTATCCTGCAACTCGGCTGGCTCTCGAGAAGCGGCCAGGGGAGCTGTGCAGAGTATGTGATAAATTCACTTAATCTCTTTCCGGATTTTTCTGCACGCTGGGCTTAGGTCAATTGAATCTACCCTTTGACTAGTGACAGTAAATATCTATTAAGCTTTAAATAAAGTCATATGCTCTTTTGACAGTTTGTTGATGAGCTGGACATCCCTCTGGTGAATTTTGAATGTTGCAGGTTTAATAATGTTTATGTAGTGTATGTAAATGTAAAGCAAAAGGGAAGTGAAAGGTCACATTGACCAATTTATCTAAATTTCACAGGAATTTTCTCATGTTGTGGACCTCTAACAATGATTATGTGAAGAACTCTTTCAATTTTCACTCGAGCTTATTGCTGCATAATATGCATTGACATGGCATTTGTAGAACATTTTTCAGACCCAAGACAGAGGTATTGTTTGGGTTTACCCCCGCTCACAGGATTTCAGGAGAAAATAAGTTAAATACAATTTATATTTAATCATTAATTGTATAACTTAATGAAATGACATTCTTTTATTTTTTTAATCGGTTGAACAGACCTCTTCCATAATGAATGTATTATTAATTTCTGAATTAAAAATTATTTTAATATTTTGCAGGATAATAAAAAAAGTGACAACTGTCCTGATGTCATTAAAAAAATATTAACTTGAAGGATGAAATTCTTATAAGAGAATATAAAAAAAAATTGCCCCAGACTATCTGATTTTTGGACAGCTATATTTAATATTTGGTCTAAGGCATATAGTAAGAAAATGCCAGAAGAAGGTGTTGTCATGTCTAAAAAATGTCAGGACTCTCATGGTTTTGTATGTCTTTTGGCAGAGAAGAATACTACTTGACTAGAAATTAAAGCAAACCCCCAACAGTTCCACTGTGGAATGTAATGCTGTTTTTGAAATTTGAGAAAATAACATATTAACTAAAACGTACCTTGGAATAAAAAACAATGAATTTCTATTTTGAAAAGGGTACAGCTCTCTCTATTGTCTTATTTTTCTTTTGTATTATTTGTTCTGGGTGGAGAGTGGATAAAAGAAAATTGTAAAAGCACATTTTTTGCAATGTACATTTTTAGTTTGTCCTGCAATAAAAGATATTGAATAAAAAATTGAATTTTTTTTTTTTTTTTCGAAGAAAAGAAGCTTTGTTAAAATATCAGAGAAAACAAGCTGAAAATGAACACCCTCATGACTGTATGTCAAGGTCAATGAGTCTCTTAAAATAGCTTTTTTTTTTTCTTGGCAGCAAACTGCACATTTACGCTTCATTGCAGTATGTTAAGTCACCTCTGCTTTGAAGTACACCTAATATCCCCCCACACCCAAATGAACATAAATGATTGTTTTTAGAGTTCACAACTGATAGAGACATTTGCTAGTTAAATTGCTTTAGTTTTTAATGGCATCGCTGCACATTCGCAGTGTGTGAACAAGAGGATGCAAGACTAGCCTTTATGTAATCCAATAGCATCCCCTGAAATATAATGAAGATCCATTTGAAGTATTTATAATGAAGGCTTTATGAAACAAATAACGGTGGTGGGGAGATGTGGGAAATGGAGCATGCCCCAAAGAACTGTGCTCTGATCAACCGCGTGTGATTGCTCTCACTTATACTTCTGTGAGTTAACCGGGACCATGCAGGAATCACACACACGCAGACTGTCCATTCCAAGGTCAGGTTTTCACAAGGCTTATGGGGAATGATACAAGAGATTATTGCTACGATCAATAAGCTGAAAATGAAACAAAGGGGAGCTCACTTTATTGACTTTCTCATGTACAGTGGCAGCTTTAACATTTAATTGTCTCTCACTATTTAGCAACAACTCCCATTTAGCTCGGCCCTCAACGGGTGCAACAAAGAATAAGATCCAACGTTCCCCACCGCCATTTTAAGAGCCTCTCATCTCCCCATTATTTACACTCTTCTGAGAATGTATCATATAATATGTGCCATACAAAAAAAAAAATCAAATAAATCAAATGTGTGTTTTTTAAGAGCTTGGCATCTCTGTGCAATTCCTTTCCAAATCAACACGAGAGCCTTTGAAATTTTAGTGTGTCTAGTGCGTCAAAAGTCATGGAGCATTCGGCTCTTCATTCAGGCCGCTCTCAATTCAACTAAAGCATCCCTAACATTGAGTTCTTGATCACACCACGTTCATTATACCTTTAGCCACACTAGATTGTACTATAACAGAAAATGTGTTTATGCTTGTTTTTTTTCTTCTTCTATTTTTATTGATAAGGCACTGGCTAATCAATTGGCTCAGGATGTGCAGGATATTAAAGCCCGTTTGACGAGAAAGAAAAAGAGTGAAAGAGAAGGAAACAGAATGTCTAAATGCTCACTAGTGAAAGCAGCGTCTATCCTCAACATGACAGAAACAGACCTGGTGAACATGCTGGACACAGATGAGGTAAGTATTGTGGGAAACAAAACTTACTGTATAGCTACAGAATAACATGGGAATTACAAATGGAAAAATAAATAAGGCTCAGTTCTCAAACAAACACTCAAGATCATTATATAATTGACAACCAAACATTTGTTTGGCATAATTTGTACATGTGAATATTCTGATTAGACCTGCCAAAATTGTACACATGGGTGTTTATTGTGCTTTATTTTTTATTTTATTTTATTTTGTTTATTATTATTTTATTTTTTTTCATAATTTCCACATGTATTAGCTGAACCACTTTTGGGGTCATCCAATGACACTCTTACACACCCACACAAAAGAAGTTTAAGTATTCTCTTCGTGGCTTTTAACAGCATTTCCGGCCATGTTTTGTGATTTGCAGTGTGAGGAGGCGTTTGTGGGTCGTGGGCCAGACACAGATTGGGCTGAACATGTACAACACATCCTTCAGCAGCAGGTTTGATTTAATCAGCAATTCATACTTTTTTTTTTTTCAGTATTCATAATTTTGTTAATGTGGTGCTTTTAGTGTAATTGACCTTTTTCAAACATATCCTGCAGATTTTAAAATGAACATTAATCTTTTAAGGCCCTTTCACACCTTGAAAAAGCGAAACAAATCGCAGATGAATGGTCTATTCACTGGTCTATATTTGTCAGGCTGAACAGAAAGCAAAATCACGGTACAATAGGTGGTGCGATGTGTACGCATTTTTCAGCTCAAGAACAGAAGCATGAGAAGCTCTGGACTATAATTTCAACAATAATAAAAAACAAATGTATGTGTTATGTTAAGCTAAAGTAAATAATTTCCCATGTGGAATTTAATCATGAAAGGTCAGCAGCAAAAACGTTGGTCCATAAATTATGTCTAAATTTGTATTATTAAAGGTATCATAGTTAAAGATGATTAAAGATTTGCATAATTTGTTTTGATTTATTTTAATAAATCCTCAAAATATAGAATATACAATTCTAAAAACCAATTGGCGAGTGAGAAGAATGTTGCAGAAATTTACCTCTGTCCCATTTCTTATATATACAGTGCAAATATATAAGAATGTATTGTGCAAATAAATTGTTAAACCCAGTTCACACCCGCAACTGTAAGCATTAACTACAATACAAATCATTAATTATTTTAAATGATTTTAATCTTTTCTTAGATTTTATTTATTAAAAAGGTAATTCATGCAAAGTCAGCAAATAAAATTGTGGTGAAAGAATGTTGGAGTAATTCATTGTGGGTAAGTGTAAATATGTGCAAAAATACAGACAAAAGAATATTGATGAAGAGATTGAACATTTGAGTAATATTTTATTCAAACCATTGGCTAGTTGTAGGTTATGCGTGTAGTGTAAAGCGAACTGTAAACATTTTATTTAGAGAAATTTTCAGGCTTAGGCTTAACGTGTGGAGTGTGAAGGCAGCTGCTCCATTGTCCAGTTTTTAGTGCATGAGCACCACCAAATGTTCTGATTTGTGTATCTGCAGCAGCTCCAAAGACATTACCCAGAGCTCAAATCTTTCTGGTCGGTGTGCTTCATCGCTAGTGGGAAAAAAAAAAATCAACACACTCAACAAAGAAAAAAAAAATGTAGCTCCCGGTGTGAAAGGCTCAATAAGAAACCATTGTTTCCAAATTCAGAATCTTGTTCACGTCGAATATTCATGTTAATCATATTAAGATTGACTGAATTAGCTCACGAGTGACTCCAAATTCCACACATTAGCCTATTTTCACATGCAGTGTTTATTTGTTATGAATAAAATTTAATCTTTTAGCAGTAATATCCGGGAGATCATTAAAGTATTTATGATTTGTCCTCCGTGTGTGTGTGTGTGTGTGTGTGTGTGTTTGGCTGTCAGCCTGAAACGTGCATCTAGTATGAATCACAGGCTCTAACGTGTCATTACATTGCTAGTGGCTTTGACCTTTGACCTCTGTGACCTGTCTATACCCGGTCTGCACATCTCTGCCTCTCGCCGCTGGACACTTTAGAGGACTCTGAAGACTGCCATCAGGCAGCTCAGTCTCTCTCTCTCCATCTTTTTCTCTCTCTTTCTCTTGCTTCCTCTGCTGGGCTGTGAGACCCCGAAGCAGCTTGTTAGTGGTGGGCCAAGTATTGATCTGGCAGGTCTGTCGATGCAGGGAGATTGAGCCAAGCTCCACTAGAGACTCTCCACCAGCAGGCTGCTATTGACACACTCGCATACATACACATACACACAAACAGAGCAGCGGCCCGCAGGAGACTCTTCACAGGCAAGTTGCTATCGACATTTTCTCGACTCGGCCTACACAACTGCTTTCTGTATGACAAGGCTGAGACCAGCCTGAGTCCCCAGAGAGGTGCGCTGACACCGACATGGTGACCCGCGCGTTAGTTTTTCTTTTCTTTCAACACGCTCATCCTGTTTTTTTTCCACCCTCCGTCTCCTGACGCGCTCCACAGGGAGGGTGGCTCTTCCTCTGACTAGTGATCAAGCGAGTTTATTGGCAGGTGAGCTTTTTTATGTTCTCTTTTTTGGGGGAAGGAAGAAACAGACCACTAGGTCAATGTTGCAATTTGTTTATGTTGTACTTGCATGTTTTGATCACATCCCAAGCTCATTGGAAAAACACGCCTGTGGCGGCATTGCTGCAAATTGATATTACATTGTGTGTTGCACATTTCACAACACTTTCGAAGTGAAATGTCCAGAAAAGGGGCACTAAAATGTTCAGGTTTTTTTTTTTTTCTAAAATAGAAGAATGAATCTGGCAGCATTTGGTTTATGTTGATTCTCGTACGCATCAGTTCAGAAAAGAAGTCCCTGGTAAGTGATGATAAAAGGTTAATGCTCTATCGCATTTGCAAAAAACATATAGTACTACCCACTCAAAACATAACCGACTTTAACGCAGTTGCTGAAACAACCATTTTAGCTTGCTTCTACAGATCTTTGAGCCCTTTTATTGTGACAAGTTTCATGGGAGTCCTACCCGAGCGTTCCTTAGTGATAGTGTAATGCTGTACCAGGTGAGCTACCGAGCAAGTTTACCATTGTGCGATGCAAATGTAAAAATTTTAGTTTCCATTTATTTATTGGTTTACAAGTCGCCCTATGGTAATAGCATTTTGAGGTCCTAGTATTGTGTACTATAGCATAGTATTGTGCAAAGAACTGCACAAAAATAAGCATTTATTAATCTATAATCTGCCCGTTATCACAACTTGTGTGAAAATGAATAAAAATGGCTGGTCTTTTAATGCCCTCTCATGTTCATTTCATACGTACAGGTACATTTTGGTAACTTTGGAGTAAAAATGTAGGTAGAGGCATATTTTTCTAATGAGCCTAGGTTGTTTGATCTTTATACGATACTGCAAAACCACTGGTGTATGCGAAGTTCCATGGGTGTTATGTGTCAGTACTACGGCCTTTTTTGTGGAAAATCAGGATTGGTAATATGGGGGTTTGTGCGTGTGTGTGTGATACCTATGCGAGGTCTTTTCTCTCGCCTGTCAGTCTCTGTGTATAGCGTGAGCTGTCACTGTCAGCCACTAATGGCAGAACTACTGTGACGACTTCCTATTACTGCTGTGGCCCTGTCAATACCACAGCCATCACTCCCGTGCCACATGTCAACGTAACAAGCTCATGCATGTCAGAATAATGTTGGGACTCGGTGAGCGCATTTTGAAGAGGTGCCTTTCACTCTCGTGTCATTTTATCTGCCTGTCTGAGTCGTGCAGGAAAGGAAATCACACAAAAGCTTACGGGCTGTTGCTTCTGATCTGTTGCCTTTGCCACAGAGTGTTTCCGCTTTGCTAGCCTCAGATAACATTAATGAACATATCTCTCTCTCTCTTTGGATATCTCGCTTTTTATTTCCCCTTTTCTTGCCACAACGTGCTCCAAGCACCTCTAAACTCATTCCCTTCTCTCTTAATGAGACAACAACACTTCCTCACTTGAGGGTCACAACCTGGGAATAACATCACCAACCTATAAGCATTTAGTCCACAGTGCTCCCTGCGGCTTAACGTGTCAAGCTGTGAATAACCCATCCTATGCTGAGTGTCCACCCGCAAACCCTCATCTAGCCCAGGGACCCCCTTCGCCCAGTAGCAGTAGACATTTAATTGCTTGCGTTTATTTGTGGATTCCTAATTATTGACTAGAGGTAAATTATAACACCACAGCCTTTATGAAGAGATGGAAATGACTGTTAGAGCTAATGAACTGAGCCACCCTGCCTCTAGTCATTTATCAACCACATTCATCTCGGCCCGACAGCACAGAGTCATTTCAGAGGTCGTGGCCCCCCTCCATTCTTGTATTGATTCATGACCAGCAGAATTTGGATTGTAAAGCTGTAATTCTGGCTGTAATATTTCTGTTCTGTTAGGCTTACACTGTGGACACTTACACTGAGATTTTCCAATTTTTTTGACATATATATGGGCTACATGCTGAAGGAATGTGGCACTATGTAAACTTAATTTAATTGCTGCGGCAGTTAAAGCAGTGACTGGAATTGGCAGAGCTGCAGCCCACAGTAATCTTTGTGTCAGCTTCTTCTTTTTTTTCTTTTAATATTGGAGCCAATACTTAACAGCTTATTTCCCTTGCACAGATTTTCAAGTTTTAAACTTTTTTTTTTAATTCTTTATTTTGTTCAGCAAAATAATTTAGAAAACAAACACGTGGTGACTTGACTACACCTCTTCTATGACAAGAATATTTTTAATTGCTGAATTAATATTGAGGGGGGGCATCAGTTTTATTTTAGTATTTATGTACTTTTATAGCATTTTTAATGCATTGTAGTTTTTCTGTTTTCATTTTTATTAATTTTGTCATGTGATCTTGTACTGTAATTTTATTCATTTTTGTTTGTTTCTATATTTCTATTTTGCTTTAATTTAATTTTCATTTTAGTTTTTCATCTAATATTTACATTGTTGTCTTTCATCTTTATTTCTATTACTGAAATTGATTTTAATAGTTTTTTGCTTTAGTTCTAGATTTAGTAAACAATTACAACACTAGGGGCCAAAATAAAATAAAAAATGTTTGGGTGATTCAGTTGTCTTTATATCATAATGAATTAAAAAGCTTCATTAAAAGAATGAAATATTACAAACTACCATATTGAGTAGAAAAGAAAAAGTCATGTTAATGCAGGTTGTACTGTGGGTCGACTTCCCAAAAAACTGATATGCATGAATTAATAATTCATGATGTTTGTAAATAAATAAATTTTTAAAAATTATTAAACCATACAATCTATACTTTTTATTTTATGGTTAAACTACATTACATTTTTTTAGAGTCATTCAGAGTAATTTTCGTTTTCAAACCTATTTGAAACCAACAATACAATACAAAGAGTACATAACTTATAGCTTTTAAACTGGAGATTGTGGAACCTCTTGTTCACTATTGACCAGTACGGATGGCATCATTCTCCCTCCACGTAATGACCGTCATTCCATATGCATTCATCAGTACTAGTGATGTCAAGCACCAGTGAACCGAACATGACAGCATCGTCAACAGACCACTCTGCTCTGAGCCTGATGCTACTGTTTGATCCTCATTCTGCTCCCTCCCCTCCATCAGTTCCTAATGAGAGAGAAATGGAACAAAGACTTGGGGAGTGCTCCATATTTATTCTACAGTGTATTTAGGTCAGATCTACCAGCTCAGGTTGTATAGACCTGACGATGTAAGAAACAACATTTAAAAAGAGGAGATTTAATTACAAGTATCTGTAGCCCCAAGTGTCCAATTCCCTTTCATATTGGTCTCCAGTGGTTTGAAAGGGAGAATGGAAAGAGAGGCATTGCAGGGTGGGTAATTACTGGCACAGAAGAATAGATTGGTGCTACGCTTGATTTTCTTACCTGATCTCTTGTTTTCCCACATGTGACACATTCATTATCTTCTAATCAAATGCAGACTTTAGTAGGTCTTGGGTGTTTTGGTTGTTGTTTTTATTTTTTTGTTATTCCCATGTTCAATAATTTTGATTTCAAATTAATTTTGCGAAGATCAAAGATCAGAAAGCTTTATATTCTTCCGTGATCATAGAATGCCATGCTTTCTTTTTTCTTTTTTTTTTAATCATCCACGCTTCATGGTGGCCTAGATGGGGGAGAATTCATCAAGGTGCGTGGAAGTGGCTTCAGAAGAGCTGTTTGACAACAGATTTGAGCATTTCTTCGGCACAGGAAGCAACAGTGCTTTACAGATATCTGACTCAAACTGCAGCGTCACTTTGCGTAGATTTCCCAAAACATCTCGCTGATTGTACACAAATCTCCTGGCTCACGCATAAATTGGCCTCACGAAAGCTACTCTTAAGGCTAATAACAAAAGGGGCCTGATCAGTCCATTTAGAGTGAGTATCCGTGGGTGTGTGTGTGTCGTAGCGGGATGAAGCTCAGAGAGTATTGTGACTGGGCCTATAGCTTCGCCCCAGGCGCCTTCACACTATGAAACCAGCGTCACTTAATTGGACTATAAAACACCTTATATTGTTGCAGGGGGTTTTTTTCCCCACTTCTCCTCAGGCCAGGCCAGTCGATTCCGAATCAACTCCTGGTCGTGTTAATGAAAACGCAGGCCAAAAGAGAGCTTTGTTGAATAGTGAACAGCTCACCAGGGCAGTCCAAAGGGAGGAGATTACCTGCTAAAGCAGCTGTTACATGATAATGACGGAGTCTGCCGTCCCCGTGGGCCTGTTTGAGCGAGCACAGCCAAGATGTGACTTAGGCCTCCCAGGCTAGCGTGGCATCAGATGCTGTAGAATTTCTGCGTTGTGCAATAAAATGGCACATTTTTAAGAGTAATTAAATAATATTGCATTCTTGTGCCATAACCCCTGCAGCCATTTCCTCTGTAGTTGTTTAGCACCACTCAAGCGGGCTTTTGATGAAGTCAGCACGGAGACCGGCTTCTACTCCAGTCTACCTGCCCCAGGGGAAAACACGGCTCCCTCTCTCCCTAATGAGACACACACTTTTCTCCCTCTGACTTTCTTTCCTCTTCATTTGCGATGCAACTCTCTTGCACTTGCGTTTACACGTCTCTCTTTTCAGCCTGACACACAGGCTTCTGCTGGAGTTAAGACCATTTATTTTTCTGTGCGAAGTCGCTCAATGAAGAATATAAAAAAATGCATGTTACTGTGTGTCTTTTAGAAAAGTGTAATTCAATATTTATGGATGATGCAGGCCTTTGATCCCTAATGCTAATTACCACAGAGTCCTTGAGAAGGTTTTGGGGGGGGAGAAAGTGAAGTCAGAGTAAAGGTTAGCGCAGCCTCCGTGCTTGGCTTTAGTGCAGAGCCGACACAGACGCTGCGGGTTTAGCATCCCTTCCTCGTTCCATGCATCGCTAGGAGCGGTGGCAGGCCGTGAGTGGCGTGGCAGCAAATCAAACCTCAAAACAATCCCATTTACTGTTTGAGGAAATGTGTTCGGCTGGTTTTTCACAAAATAAGAAAAGCCTTTGTGACCTGTTCCTTGAATTTGTTCCTTGTCATAATTAATCAGAGTGAAATCTTGAGTTTCATCACAGGTTCGAGTCGTCCTCAAAGCCAAAGACACCCCGGAGAAGCTGTCTGGTGTCAAAGAAGGCAAAGGAAAAAAGCCTCTCTTCTTTTTGACAGCTTTTCTTTTCTTTGCCCCTCTCTCTCTCTTTCTCCCTAGATCCCCTCTGCAGGCCTGCTGATGGACGCCATGCTGGTGAAGATGAAGGAGGGCAAAGTGCTGACAGAGGAACTGGCTGCACTTACAGCTGCAGTCAGCAAAAATGCCTGACCAGAGGAAAAAAAAAAGACCGAAAGGGAGCAAGAGACTGTAATACTTCTGTAAGATGGAGTGTGCCCTGCATGGCAGCGGAAGCCCCTTGTCTACACAGTACTCCACCCGTTTTGTTCTTGAAGTCCTGTGCCTCACACAACAAACTCTTGGAAAAATTATACAACTTAAAATGCTTTTTATGAAAGGCCTTTAAAAAACATTGACTGGTTGGTGGATGAAAAGATACAGTACTTGAAAAGCACCGTATTTTTGTGTTTTATTTGAATTTTACAGATCGCAAAGACTACTTTTTGAAATTGAGTACCAAATGTTGGGGAGATTACTATTTCTTTATTTGATCTAATGTTTTACTTGTATGTAAATGATTGTGCAATGGATTTTTTTTACCTGACTTGCACATTAAGATTGAGATATTTTAAACACATTAGCATGTCAGTGTAAATTCACACCTCTATGTTTATGTGGCCACAGCAAACATCAATCAAAATCAAGGCTGAAGTTGCATAATCAACATTTTGCAAGAATATCATCTTTAAATAATTAAATAAATTCTGGTCACATCATCCTGCTTGTCTCTTTCTTGTGTGATTTTGTGGTGATCTTATTTGTTTTTAGCTAATTTGTTTTTGTATGCATCCTTGTCTTCAATTATCAATAATATTGCACAATTTTAAATAATATATAAACTTGATGTAGATGGTGTGTATTATTTAGAAGTTATGTTTTGTGACTGAATGAGTTGTGGAGCAACCATTTTAATTTCTCAATAGTAGCTAAGGACATTTTATGAGAATGCACTTAATGAAGAGGTTTCTATGAACAAAAATATAGAACTAAAATTGTGAATGGTGATTGCATTAATTTGCTTGTATGCAATATGTTCATCACCGTAATTGAGACCAGACCATTTTTCTTTATTTTAGTAATTACTATTCAGTTCACATTTGAACACTACATTTTCTGGTTGCATATTTGTAGATGGAGATAAGGTGTAAAATAAATACACCGTATATACAGTTTAATGGCCTAGTGTCAATACCCTCATACATAAATTATACATAAATTTCAGTTGCACCAATAACGATGTGCAATTCATGTTTTTTTGTAATTCCTATATATATATAAAAATCTCATAAATCTTAAGACATTCTTATGTCTGTTTTGATTCATTAAAAATCTGGCAGAATTTGTGTAGGAAGAAACCATCCTTATATTTTAGATTATATATAATTTCACTTTCTCCATTGTTATTCACTCTTTTCCCCTTTGCATACAATTAGAAACCTTGTAAAGCCATCCATTCAAAAATTAACCATAAGAATACTATGTTTTATCTAATCAGTTTTATGCTAATGATGTCGTTTGCATTTATCTTTTTGTAATGAAGGATTAGCTCAAGACTGTCCTAAGCATCTCGGGGACCAATTTATCTGCCACCCTGGATCAGGGGGCCCTTGTGGTTAATTACCATTCGTTAATGTAGTTTGGATGCTTTCTTCTTCGAATACTCGAGAGCATGCTATTGTAAATATTTGTCCCATATAAATGTGCTGGTTTCTAGTCACTGTCCTCAAGCATAATGTGTCTAATGACAAACATTAATAACTTACAGCTGGGAAAACTACAGAGAGGACCGGCGTGCGCAGGAATAGCTGCACGCAAATTAGCACGAACTTGATGTCTCCTGCCTTAATGCATACTGCATAGTAAACATGTTTGCATACCCGCTCCATCCGCCTGCCACAGCCGCTATTTCTGTGACATTCAAATGCACAGAGTTCCCTGAGGTTTAATTAACATGGCCTTCCTCAGCCACCCACTGAAAATAAAAACATAAAGAAACATTCAACCCCACATCTAAAATCCAAACTTTTTTGAAAGAAAGAATGAAACCTTTCCTTCTCAGTCTCATTGCCGTGTCTTCTTGTGAACGTCTCATTAAGAAATGCACCTTAGGGGACCGACTGATCAGGACTTCTAAATGCTAAGATTTTCCCTTTCCTCCGTCCCTTTGTTCCTCATCATTTTATCTCTCTCACACACATTCATTCGCTCATTTTTTTTCTTTCACCCTTAATCTTTCCTTTTCTTCTTTTTGATAGTCTTGGCAGGTTCCTCTGAGAGCGGGGGTTCACCTCCCGCTGTGGGTAGCTGGGTGCCACGGGCTGTTGGGAGTGATGATGAGGGGCTGCTGGAGCCTCAACCCGTGAACCTCCCCCCTCCCCTTTTCCAAAATCAATAACGGAGACTACTGAGGTCTCCTGCAGCATTACTGGAACAGGTCCATCACAGGTCATACCCGAATCAGTGCTCAGATGAAATGACTGAGAGGTCAAATTTGACAACTGAGGCTAAACATGTTCACATTCATCTGTTTGAAGTGCATCTGGGTGACAGGAATATATTTATTCCATCAATTAATATGTAAGACAACACGTCTTGCTGAGCTTCATGAACAAAGTAGGAGGTGTAGCTCAACCTAGATCAATAATTTCTTTCTGCTCATGCCAGATATGGAAGTTGCTTGAAATGGCACATCATTGCTGCTTCTCAAATTCCTGTCTTGCTTTGATTTATGTATGCAATTAATTGTATAGAGCTTGTTTTTATTTTGTTCTCCTGTGTCGTGTCTCAACAACTACTCCTCTATCACACTTATCTCAGTGATTAGGAAATTTTTCGAGAGGCTGGTTGTGACATAAGACTGAACCACAGTGGTCCAGATAAACTGCATTCGCAATCAACGTGGCTCATTGTCACTATGAATTATATGTAAGAATGTTGTTTATGAACTGTAGGTTAGTGTTCAACAATATCCCACAGATCAGACGTACAGTCTGATCAATAAGTTGTGTACAATTGAATCTAATTATAGCTAATCACAACCATTTTTTTCACAATCAGGTTTTGTATTTATTTGTTTGTGAAAATAAATTTGTAATGTTTCTTTGGCTGAATGATCAGTACCTAGATAAACAAAAGTATAACCCAATTAGCAGATTGTATATCTATCACTTTATCGCTTTATATTTTTATTCGTGCACAATTGTTGGGTAGTAACTAATTGCATGTAGCCTAATCTGGATTACAACAATTACTTAAAGGGGTCATATGATGTGATTTCAAGTTTTCCTTTCTCTTTGGAGTGTTACAAGCTGTTCGTGAATAGATAAGATAATCAATCGATCATTTTTAGCAATGTCATATGACCCCTTTAAAGGGGTCATATGATGCTGCTAAAAAGAACATTATTTTGTGTATTTGGTGTAATGAAATGTGTTTATGCGGTTTAAGGTTCAAAATACACATTATTTTCCACATACTGTACATTATTGTTTCTCCTCTATGCCCCGCCTTTCTGAAACGCGTCGATTTTTACAAAGCTCATCGGTCTGAAAAGCGAGGTGTGCTCTGATTGGCCAGCTATCCAGAGCGTTGTGATTGGCCGAATACCTCAAGCGTGTGACGGAAATGTTACGCCCCTTACCATACTGTGATGCCCTGTCTGGCCGGAGCGACGAGACAAAAACATGAAAACCCATTATAAACGAGGCATTTGTTGCATCCAGTGGGGACATAATTACGGATTATAATGACTTATACTGTCTTTTTACGCAGTTTCGCTTTCACAACGAAACAGTGTCACACATGGCGGCCTTGACTGAGCGGAGGCCGGAGGCCTAGAGTGAGCCGCCGGCTTGAGTGAGCAGAGGCGGGCAGGCTTGAGAATGGCGCGGATTCGACGAAGGAGCGTCCGGAGGGCTTGCGGCAACCACGTGTGACGACCCCGGGCTGGACTCGTCCTCTTTTGGAAGACCAAACAAAGTAGTTTTGCTTTCACAACGAAACACACAGCGCCTTCACGACATGGCGGCAGCAACAATACTACAGCGAGAATAAAAGTTATGCCTTCTTTCTTTGCGTGAACATTTGGGCGGCGTTATGCAAATCTTCCCACATTGTGACGTAGACGTGGGGGCGTGTTAAATCGAGCCATTTTAGGTAGGCGTGGCTGACTCAACGTTTATAAAGAATATCTCTTTGGATTTGAGACTTTAGTCTTTACAACTTTACAGATCTTCTTTATGCACCAAGAGCTTGTAACACTCCAAAGAGAAAGGAAAAATTGAAATCGCATCATATGACCCCTTTAAGTAATTAGATTGAATTACATTAGTTTGATTTACATTGAGAGGCCACACATCATTTGACCACTGGATTTACAAAAAGTGTTTTCTTAACATTTTAACCCTGCATCAACTACTGATGAACATTCATTTTAATTTGAACTATCACTTAGTAAATTGTTCAACCAAGTATTACTTGGTTCAATAACCCACTGTCTTTGGAAGGCTTTTGTCTTTCAAACACAGTAATTCATGTTATTTCTTATTCACTTGTAATGCAAGGATTCTTAAACTTTTTTTGTTGTTGTTGTCAGCCAAACCTCTACATTTACTTCAAGATATTTTAAGGTAATAATTTAATAATAGCACATTTGCATTTAAAGTTCTCTGACATTGGTTAATGATCACGACATGCAGGTAAACGAATAAAATGTTTAAGCTTTTTTTTTAGTAAGGTTTTCTTTTTATCGTTGTTATTTTAAAAATTATTTATTTAATTTTACATTTTTATTATTTCATTAATTATTAGCTTTTTATTAAACTTGCACGCTCTGGTTTGGGAAACCTCGGTGTAATGTATGTTTCTGCACTTCATGTTATAATAACAACAAATGCAATGTATTTTCTTTTTCTTTGTGTTTCAAAGTAATTATGTTAGCATTTAAAGTAAGAATCTAAAATTAATTAAAAAGTAGTCTGATTATATGATGTGTAATGTAATGGATTACATTACTAACTACAATTTTTGCAAGTAATTTGGAATCAGTAACAGACTACAATAATCCACCCAGCACTGACAATTAAATATGCCATCTGCCTTATCTAAGGTCTATCATTTAAGAATAAAAAATGAACTAATCAGGTCAGTGCAGAGCC